TAACCATTTCCAAAGCTCTCCTCAAAGACATCCAGTATCCACAGTTTATTTATGTTTATTCTTATCTATTTAGTGTTATACAGTGTTCAGTAGTGGCAAAAACACACATGCTACCAAAATACCAAACAAAAAACATACCATTTCCGTGACAATTTAACACTTTGATATGTTCTTTAAAATCTCCAGTAAGGAATATACTTCTATTGTGTTAAGTCTGGGTTCATTTAAGACTGGGTGCTAATTCAGACTTAAGATTTAGCTGTCTTTACAGAACAATAATTGCTGCTACATTTCATCTAAAACAGTGCCAATTCTTTTGTTCTTTGGGAGGAAGTATATTTCAACAAATACAAGAGGCGTTTTCCAAATGCAGTGTACTGATGAGCTACTTTGAGTGTATTGTTCTTTGATTAAACTAGATATCAATTTACACTTCATAACTATTCATAATTAAACATTTCTAATTTTGTTTCTTGATTGAACATAATTAGTGAAGCGTATCGACATTTCATGCGGATTGTAATCTGTATCTAATCATATAGATGAGGCTGTTATGTATGTGCGTATGAGAGTGTCGTGTGTGTGACGGAGTCTGCATGTGTGTACTGGCTCTGCTGTGCTGTGTGTGTAATTACACTGTCATCAGGCCTTCGCTGCATTTCCGACTTTGCCTTGGGCTCTGACAGTAAGGACACTCCATCCATCACTGTGTTTATTTTATCTGCTACAGGCTTGTCCACAAATATGCTTTGTCATTCTTCCTCCACTGCCGTTCATACAATAAAAGCTTTATTTCACACACAAGGCCAGTGACGAGCGAACATGTAAGTGTTTATTCATGAAAAAGTCCCGTAATTGTTTTGGGTGCTGTTCAAAGTTTCTGTCATAAAAGGTCAACCCAGCAGTCATAGTTAAGGAATGCACTGAAATGAATGAGATGACTCCACTGGAATTATTTAACCCCTAGTAGTCTAGAGTTTATGTTAAGCAGCTATACATTTGAAAACCTTTAAATATAACTACATAATCACACAATTGATTTTATTTGTAGATTTATTTTGCTTCTATATTACTATTTACATAGAACTGAATAGAACACACTAATGTCCTGCAGTGTCATTACATTAGGCTTTAGGTTATTCCTAACAACGGTGCAGTCATCACCCTACATATTCCATCACTTCAGCTCTGAACATAAGTTACTGCCACACTGGGCAGACCCTGTGAAGATGACCTGAAAGTTAAAAATCAGACAGCTGACGTGTGAAGACGAAAAACGACACAGCAAACTTAAAAACCTAAACCTAATTAGCATACTGCCATGGCAGAAAACGTATTTATGGTCCATTTGTGTCTTACCTGTGATGACTTGATGCACTGAAGTAACATTAGATGTATGCTTTGACATTTTCACAAAGCCCATGCCAGCTTTTGTAAAAAAGAGTGTCCTGTAAGCACCAAATTTGTAGAAAATTGACGACAATTTTTACATTCATTTTCGGCTTTGGACGGGTAGAAAATTACATACTTTAAGGGACAGATATACTTTTGAATGTCACCAGTTAATCTTTTAACTGCATCTAGAGGCTCAAATAAAAAAAAAAACAGTGCACTGATAATGAATTGAAAGTTTAAAGCAAATGTAATAAGCTCTGTAGAGCTGCCTGTTGTGTTAACTATATTGGATAATATTGCAGCCAGATTCACACAGTCTGACACATCTCTTGATGCTGAAGTTAGCCTCTTATTCAAATTCTACTGTTCCTTAAAAAGTCCTGCTACTGTCTCTACAGGCGTCTGAACGTAACTGCTACATCATTTAAGGTAGAATGGGAAATTACGCTACCTTTAGCTTTATCTAATCTATATCTACTGTATGAGTCTAAGATACAGTCAGCAAACTGGGGCTGTATAACCTGAGACAGGGGCCGCTGGTTTAACCCCTAAATTACTGCAGATATACACTTAGATATAATATTTACAGTCTGAGCGTTTTTGTGCTTATGTGCGTGAGTTCATTCATTAGCTCGCAGTAACTGGCCCAAAACACTACCGGCCCATCAGGAATTCTCCCGATCACTGACCTTGGCATTGTTCTTTTTCTGCATCCTCAGTGCTGGGGCCTGTAAGCCATGAAAGTAGCCAGTCACAGGCTCACTCTGCTGCCCCCTCCCCTTTCACATCCAGTAGGTTTCTGATATGCGCTTTATTAGGTGCCTGCATACAGTTGCCTAGTTAAAAATATATATAAATAAACAGGTAGAGAGACAAAATTGAGATATAAATAGATTAACGCAACTGAAGTAAGACTGTTTGAAAATGCTCTGAGTAAAAAGTGTAGATTTTTTTCTTGAAATGTAGTAAAACTAAAAGTAAAAAAGTATTAAGTGACAGAAATGCTCAAGAAAAGTACAGATACCTAAAACAATTACTTAAGTGCAGTAACAAAGTGCTTGTACTTCGTTACTTACTTCTCTTTCAATAAGCTACAAGTAAGAAGTAATTTACAGAAAACAGCATTTGACTTTGAAATTAAATGAAATTAAATGGAATAACTGCGACTTCTAAGGATCAAGCAAGGAAAGTAGAGAGAACCAGAGAGAGGAAGTGAGATTCATGAGCTTATGAGGCTGATAGTGGTGGGTTGCTATCCTGCACCTGACGCTTTGATTACTGTTGTCTGTTGTAGCCTCTGTAGGACATGGTTTTTTCTCTCTCTGCCTAATTACACTTTTAATAGTTCTGTCCATCCAGCCTCTCCGGCTGCCTTAAAACTGCTAACACAGCCTCAGATTACTCCTCTAAAACACTCTGCTCAAGCTGACAGCCGAATTAGACTGCCATGACTTATGACGAGAAAATGGCCGACCACTTTTGGAGAGTCGTTGTTTTGGTATGTGTTGTTGTTTATGTTTATGAAGTCTGAAATCTAGAGGTGTGGGGTATTACTGTGTCTTGAGAAGCTGTGTTAGGCCCTCACTCTGCCCTGTACTGTGTGTAGTGCAGCGTTTTGAGTGACAGACTGCAGACAGTGTGTTGTCTGGCTGTCAGACGAATGCTGCCAGACTAGCTTCACACCACACACGTACACACATGCTCATCCACATGAGCTACCAATTATAGTCTGCAGCAACATAGGAGACCAACATACGAGACCTGTCAACTTTTCAAGCACACTTTCCTCCCTCCACACACACACACACATACAGGAACGTCACCTTTAGCTGTCAGTAGGCCGTAGTGTTGTAGTAGATCTGGGCTGTCAGTGTTGTGGGGCTGGACTGAACAGTTTCAGCCCTTTCGCTATAGTTGGCCCCTAATTGCCTGCTGTTCTGTGGCCGTTTTGGCTACAGTGACTCCTTTCACACTATATTCCCTCTGAGAAAGAGTTTACATAACCTGCTTTAATGTAAAGGTTCTATAGCAATTTAAGGGTTTCTTCTTAGAACCTGTACATTATGTACACTCTTTAAAAACATTCCAAAAAGATTTTTTGAGGCATGTCATAGAAGAACTACATTTGTTTCCCTGAAGAACCGTGTAGTTTGTGAGTGTGCGGAGCTTTTTAAACGTTTAAATAACCTTCACATAATGTAAAGGCTCTTTACCAATTTGAGGGTTCTTCCTAGAACCTTTACATTATGCAGATGTCCTTTAAACTTTATAAAGGTTCTTCACACATCTCATTTACCAAAAAAACTCCTCTAAAGAACCATATATTGAATGGCTCTTTAAGGGAACAAAAATGGTTCTTCTACAAAGAGACCCTTTTTGGCACCCTTATTTTTAAGAGTGTCAAAGGTTCTTTAAAAGTTAAAAGGTTCTTCACTCTCACATCTCATTTACAAAAATGGTGCTCTAAGGAACCACCCATTGAACGACTTTTTAGAAGCCAAAAGTTCTTGCACTTCGCTTCAGATCATAAAAAGTGGGAATCTCTGTCCATCTTTCCACTGTGAGTAGACACCTCAACAGAGTGAGTCTGAAAAGGATTACTGAGAAATGGAGTAAAAAAATGGACAAAATTTTCAAATCAAACAAAGAAGCTGCTGGTGTTCTCAAACCATGAGCTGGCCACCCATGAGTCCAGACCTCAACATCACTGAATGTGTTTGGGTTTATTTCACACTATTTCTGAGAAGCAGAAAATACAACCAACATTAACAACACAAACATTTTACATGTCCAAAACATCTTTGAAGGTGTGAAAAAGTATCTCTGGAATTTTGAAAAATAAAAGCAAGTCTTCTAAAATCTGTTATAAAGGCACTCTAGTGAACACTAATAATACTTTGATGTTATTGATGTTATTTTTAATTATTTGAGGCTTTTTTCTGTTCATTCTCTGTTTCTGTTAATTTTCTGTTAAATATGTGTTTTCTACATTTTTCATGATGCTGGAAAATAACATAAATGAAAAAGAATAACATGCTTAATGGGTGTTTTAAGGTGAAATTTGAATGAAAGGGTGGTCTTTGACTTTTGCACACTACTGTATAATAAGAATACACCTTTTTTATCCCGACGCACATACACACAGCAGCAACCACAGCAGATGCCTCATAAATATTGAAAGCATTGGGTTCCAGCTGAAAGCCGTCTCCTTCTCTGCAGTGTGTCATTGCTGAATAATTGATCTAGCGTCTTCTCATCCGAGTAAAAAGAAGAGAGCATTGTTTCAACACAGTGTTTCGCTCTTGATGATGTTGAATGAAGCTTCGTGTTAACCCTTCTGTGATTCAGTACTACTGCACTTGACATATCGTCACCTCTAAGAAAAGAACCAACGTGCTTAGCATACAGAATGTGTGCCACTCCTTAACGTTGGAACTCCAAGCATCATTATATTATACATATTACCCAACTGTAAAGATTTCTCTGTGCCATTAAATTAACTGGAATCATATGATTTAAGAATCAAATGGCTGAACTATTTACCTAGTAGAACTGTTTAATCTCTGGGACATGCTAAACTTTTGTTTGGCCTGACTGTGTTGCAGGTATGATACTAGGTATGATAAGGAGGACTACGTGCTGCGGATAAAGAAGGCTTCAGCAGGTGATGAGGGAACATTCACCTGTGTGGCGGAGAACCGTGTGGGGAAAGTGGAGGCTTCAGCTACACTTACAGTCAGAGGTGAGTCAGAACTTCTAAAGGAACAGTCCTTTAAAAGGCCATACCTCTGACTATAGAAGGTCTGAGGAAGAGTACTTTAGAAGGACTGAGGAAGAGAATTTAGAAGGCCAAACACCTCACTTTAGAAGGCCTGAGGAAGAGTACTTTAGAAGGCCTGAGGAAGAGTACTTTAGAAGGCCAGACACCTCACTTTAGAAGGCCTGAGGAAGAGTACTTTAGAAGGCCTGAGGAAGAGTACTTTAGAAGGCCAGACACCTCACTTTAGAAGGCCTGAGGAACAGTACTTTAAAAAAACCATACCCCTGATTTTTGAAGGCCTGAGGAACAGTACTGACTTTAGAAGGCCTGAGGAGCAGTCCTTTAAGGACCATACCCCTGATTTTTGAATTCCTGATGAATCAGTACTTTAAAAAGCCAAACACCTGACTTTAGAAGGCCTGAGGAACAAGTATTGTATAACAAGTCTACAGTATTTGGCTGTATAACACTAGCACAACCAAACCCTCCCTTACTTAAATGTATATATACAAGTAAGTATAAAGTCTCATAACCATTTATGAAAATGCCTGCACTGCTGTCAAAGGCTTGGGGACACCTTGCTTTTTGGAATGAATTTTTCAATATTACTTTTCAATTCAGTAAGAAAAAAGACCTATGAATGTTCTGTGAGCATAAAACAGCTTAGTGCTGACTAAGGGGACAGATTATACCTTGTTAAACAAAGCTTTTATTTTTTTCTGTAATATGTGAAAATACGAACAAAAACACTTGCTCTGTGGTCGGTAGCATAAATGCTAATAGTGTTAGCTTCTTATAGCTTATGTCACCTTATGTTGAACTCGCTACAAGGCAATAATTATAAAAATAGCAATCAACACATAAACATACCATCCTAGGTTACATTCTGGTGCACTTATTGGTCGGTAGTGCTTGGCAACTTCTTGGTAACATCTTCATCTGGAAGAGTAAATAATTTGCTAAATTGTCACTGGCTTCAGCTGAAAGAGATAGCAAAGACAGAGGATCCCTCAGTAGGGTTAGAACTATAGCAGCTCTGCATGCCTTTGAAAACTGGAAAATCACTACGTACTTGGGTACATTTGACATTACAGCCTCAAACACAACAAAATTTTACCATTATTGCCAGTGCTTTGTCTGTTATTTTTGAATTTATTGGAAATTGTGCTGTAAATTAAGCTGATTCCATGCTGACTGGATGCAGGTTATCCACCCAGAAGTATGGCCACTCTTTATGTCTACAAACGTTCTGATTTGTTTTGTTATCTGTCAGTATAGCAAGATAATTTCACTTGAAATTTCACATAAAATGCCTTAAAACAAGTAAAAAGAAAAATCTCAAAATGAGAAATTGTTTGTATTGAATACATGCACCCACACTCAAATGACTGGGCTGTTTTTTTTTGTTTTTTTTTCAGAAATTGCATATAAATTCTAGGGGTTGTGGATTTCAGGGCTTATTTCATTACAAGGGCTTATGGAGCAGGCATTGAAAAGATTCTGTAGGGTCAAGATATTTTATTACATAAAATATTGAAAGTCAAATCGATTCTTGATAAAAAAAAACAAAAAAACAAAAAAAATCATATTGGACCTGAGAAAATTAAATGGATGTTTGTTAGCACTATCACTAACGATCATTGTTATATTTTTTCCTCAAACCTGGTTAATTTTTAAGATGCTACTTTATTGCAAACCTAAAAAATAAAACATGCTCATTTGTAATGAACACATTTGAAAAGCTAAGTGTCCCCAAACCTTTGGTATCAACAGCCTTTAGATCTGTTTATTTCCTTCAGTTTAGACCCACATAGATGCAGCCTTCACTCAAACACGTGGAAACCCCTCTTACTGAGCTAGAGCATCTCTGACACGTCCATAAATGAAGCTCTGAAGTGGTTATTGGGGGTTGGAGAGGATTCTGCCCAGTCTATGAATCCGTTTTATTATTAATATCCCTGGAATAGAGGCCACCTCACTCCCCCACCTGCAACTGCACACACACACAAACACACAAACACAATATCTCCGCTCACCCGCCGTGGCTCTATGGGCCAAACCAGCGAAGCCATTTCACAGTTTACTGGTGCAGACCGACCCTGCCATGCACAGCAGTGCCGCACAAGGTTAATAAAAACATTTTGCCTTAATCTACCCCCCACCCCTTCTCCTTTCTCCTCACATTAAATCAAACTGCTTAGGTGTTCCACTGAGAGCGCTAAAGGGGGTACGGAAGGTTCCAGAAGGGAGGCACACCAACCTGTGGGGTTGACTTCAATTTTCAGGCCTTTTGAATAGGGGATTTATATACAGTTTACCATGCTCTGCGGAGCTAAGCTGGAATGGTCGGTGTGGAGGGGCTAAAGGGCGGAGGTGCATTAGCCAGAGTAGAGAGAGTGAGGAGAACTCCCAGTGTCAATATGGCAGCCACTTTCACCAGCTCCACTGCTGCATTAAAGATGAACTGTGCTTCTCTCCACTAGTCTCTACTCCCGCTCTCTGTCTCTCACTCTCTGTCTCTCTCTCTCTCCTATTCTTGTCAGTCTCTCATTTTTCTCTTTTTCTCCCTGTCTGTAGCTGTCTCACTCTCATACTCTATCTTTCTGAATTTTTCATTCTTCTTTTTTCTCTTTTCTTTCTCTTCTCATTTTCACCTTTCTCCTCTCTCTCATTTTCTTTCTCTCTCTCTCATTCTCCCTTTGTCTTTCTCATTCTCTCTTTCCGTTTCCTTTCTATTTTCTGTCTTTTCTTCTCTTTCCCTTTTCTTATTTTTTCTGTCTTCCCCTCATTCTTTCTCCTCTCTCATTTTCTCTTTTTTCTTCTTTTGGCCTCTCTCATTCTCTTTCTCACTGTCTTTTTTTCCTCTCCTTCTCTTTTCTCTCTTTCTTCCTCTTTTTAGCTGTCTTACTTATACTCATCCCCCTTGCGCTCTCTCTCTGTCTCTCTTCTTCTTTCTATTCTTCTGTCAGTCTCTCATTTTCTTTTTTCCCTGTCTTTAGCTGTTTCACTTTCATACTCTATCTTTCTGATTACTTTCATGCTCTATCTTTGTGATTTTTTTTCTCTTCTTTCTGTTTTCTCAATTGTCTCTCTTCTGCTCCTCTCTTTCATTTTTGCCTTTTTCTTCTTTTGACCTCTCATTCTCTTTCTCCTCGTCTGTTTTTCCTCTCTCTCTCTCTCTCTCTCTCTCTCTCTCTCTCTCTCTCTCTCTCTCTCTCTCTCTCTCTCTCACTGTCTCTCAGTGATGTACTTATCGTGCCTCTTCCTTTCTTCAAGGCTGGATGTATATATGTCACTAATGCCAGTACAGTAGATTCAATAGCAGGGCTGGGAAGAAAATCCACTTCTGACTTACATCCCACTTTAATGACATGATGTGAGGAGAATGTCTGTCAGAGTAGAGAAGTCTGACTGCTGAAATGCACCATAGAAAAAAACTATTACAAATATACTATTCTAGTGCATTATAATAAATAGATAATAAATAATAAATAGAGCTGGGCAGTATTGATGAAATTCAGTTACACAATAATTTGTAAAAACATTACAGTATCATACACTATGTAAGTTAGAATTAAGTTAATGAATCCATGCTTTCTAAATCCTGCTATTCTACATTAATAAAGAATGTCTACTAGCCTCTCGTAGCTTTCTTTGATTGGACCGTTTTGATCTATACATATTGCCCAGCACTAATCATAATGTACAATACATTTCTCTTAATCACCACAAGGAGGTGCTAGACTAATACAACCCCATTGATTTTGGTCATTCCAGCACACGCTCAGACACATTGCTCATTGTCAAAGTAAAACTCATTTGGAAAAAACGAATATCCCTCTTCCACATCCTCGCTGTTGAACCCTGTGACTGGTGCCAATCCTGTGCTATAATTGTGTATCTCAACACAACACAGTCATTGTTCATTCTAACTATGATTTCTGTTGTTCTGATTTATTTTTCCTTCAATTCTCTTTCTTTTTTGTCCTCCTTGTCATTTTTGTCTGTTTTTTTTTTGTTTGTCTGTTTTTATTGTTTGTTTTTTTTTGTTTTTGATTCACTCCACCATTGTCGTGTCTTCAGCTCGCCCTGTGGGTAAGTACCCATCATTCTGGATACTCCATTGCATGAACAACTTCTGCCTTCTGCTCTTTTCTTTCAAAGTATGCACACACAAGCGCACACCGTCTGCTTCCTGAGCTCAGCGGTAGCTGCAGGCTCTGCTTTCTGGTCCTGCTCTAGTCTCCCTGCTAGTCCTGAACTTGGATATCATTCCAAGTACATCTCCTCACCTTACTAACCTGCTAATGAACTACTAACCAACTCTTGATCCAGGATCTGTTTAATAATCTGTTTAATTAAAGATGACTATTAATTTGATGACTGTATGCTGAAGGGCCGTCTTTTTGTGTGTCTGTAAACAAGAGCAAGAAGCTGGTATTTTTGCAAAATGATGAGTGAAACATTTAGTAAGTCAAATAAAAGTTTTGAGAATTTAATTTCTAGGATTTTTAGACAGTGTTTACATTGTAAAATATGGGCAGGGTCGTTTTAGGAATCCTGTATATGTGGAGTTTTTTTTTTGCAGAATATTTGGTACCTGCCCAGGGACTACAGTTGAAAATTAACTGAATTGGCTAAACTAGCACATTTACAGAATTGTTTATTAATATGTATTATTCCTTTAAATCTAAACAAAATATACACACAAACTTAGCTGTCCACATGAAGACTTATTTTCTCAAATTTTTAACTTAGCATCTTGAAATAATGACTTATTTTTATCAGCGACTCAATTTTTTTTTAAACTTTTGATTCAGAATACTATGTTCTCAGAATATTGACATATCTGAAATAGTTTCTTGAAATAAAGACATATTTTCTCAAAATTTAGATTTACTATGTTGAAATTAAGTATTACATTTTAAGAATGTAAATCATTATTTTGGTGTAATTAGTCATTATTTTGAGCTACTAAGTCAAATTTTTGAGAAGTCACTTTTTCTAAATACAAAGTCAATATTTCAGGAAAATACATTATATTTTGTGATATATGAAAATTTGACATGCTGCGTCCATACGTGTGGCAGATTAGGTTGACAAATACAGAAGTATTCCTTCAGCTTAGGCCGTTTGTGCTGTATTTCTGCAAGATAACTTGGAGAATATAACGTGTGTGAGTTTCTGGTTGTCCCTGTGTGTAACTCTTGTTTGCTTAAAGCACTCAGAAGTGTGTTTTGTGCTGCAGCACTGGGCAGATGTTGGCCATCATGAATTAAATATGGAGACTTGATCAGCTATTCTCCTCTCAGGGTGCAACAAGCCTCCCTCCAGTCATTAGGGAGCCTGAATCAAAGACACCCTGTGTGTGTGTGCGTGTGTGCGAGAGAGAGAGCGAGAGAGAGACAGAGAGAGAGAGACAGAGAGAGAATGTCTGTGGGTTTGAGAGTATAGTCTTCCTGTACAAACAGAGCCAGCAGATTTTAAGACCAGTCCAGTAATGGAGATCAGTCTCCAAGCGCTTAATCAAACACTGAGAGTGAGTGGCATCTCTTCCAGCTCCGTCTGTGCCACAGTACTGTAGAGTAGAGAAGGAAAACAGGCCCAAGTGTGATTTAAAGCCTTTGTCACTGACCCAAACTCACAGAAGTGCTTTCAGTAGCGCAGGGCCAGATTGGGGGCCTTGTAAATCTACTGCCATCTGTAACTTCTTTTAGTGTGTTACACTCAGACAAGTATAGCCGCACAAAGACAAAATCGGCTCCATAAATCAGACAGTCAGCTGCACCAGCCGCCGCCTCCTTTGACTGTTAGCAGCTGTGATGACAGTGGAAAAAGCTCCTTTAGAAATTAAGATGAAGTGGCTGTGTTGTTCGGTCACTTTTTATGCTATAAAGTGTGGGCAGCGTTATAGTGTTAGGTAAATCTAGCCAACTTCTGTTAATTGCTGGTCCATCTGTTGAGGTAGTCTCTAAAAAAAATAAAGATTCCAAAATGTTTTATGGCTTGGATGTGTGGAACCTTTTCATTATGTGGTGGTTCTTTAATGGGCCTATATCATGAAAAACAAAATTTCCTCAGTTTATTTAAAAAGAGTTTGTCACAGTATGTAAACATTACAAAAGTGTCATACCTTTCACTCCCCATATATGGCAGCTCAGCTGCAAAATCAGCTCATTTTGAATTAGTTGTTTTTGTGATGTCACCAAACCCAAAATATTTATATATATCTATCTCCTTATTCAGTCTACAGCAGTTTAACTCCATTATAAGGGTGTTTCAGACTGGACTGTTTTTTTCAGTGAGGTGCAATACAGGGTAGCCAGTAAGAACAGAGGTTACTCACATGTATCAGTCTTAAAGGCACACTAACAAAAACAGCCTGTTTAGTTCTAAGGAATAAAGAAAAGTTCCTGTTTTTTTATTGACAATGTCCTGTAAAAATTACTTAATAAGAATTAATGTTTTTGGTAGATAAACTAAGACACCATACCTATACATGAGGGGAAACAAATAAAGTACAGGAAAAATGTTTGATATGTGCCTTATATAAAGGTTCTTCAGTTCTTCAGTTGCACATCTCAGTCGAAGCAATGGATATGCGAAGAACCATCCGTTGCAAGTTTCTTTACAAAACTATTAGTAGTTTCTCTCAGTATTCTGCTCTACAACATGCAGGGAATTTTCAACAGGAGCAACAACATGGCAAAACATACTGCAAATGAGTTGTTTTTGACCTTCAGTCCTGATTTATTTTGACCCGTTATATTGCAAAGTAGCTCAAAGTAGCTCGCACTTCGGTGTGCACTTTTTTGTGTTGAGTTATTTCTTTTTGATTGGAGGAGGAAGACAGAATTACTGTAGGAGCCAGGAGTATGTTTCACGGTGCACAGCTAAGGCTTAATTCATGTTCTGAAATGAGAACTTTGTGCTAACCTTGAAGCCAATGTGCTGCAAATCTTCTAGGGAGTGTGACAGCCCAGCGATAATACTTTATCTCCACAATAACTCCCACTGCCGTTTCCTGCCTTTGAAGACAAGGGGGTGAGGGAACTTTTTTTAAGGAAGTGACACCTCGACCTTCCTGTTAGTGTGAGTGAAAGTGATTGTGAGAAGAAGATTGCTAGCAATGAATGTGGATGCTGTTTTAAGGACTTTGTAGACCTTGGCCTGGGGTGGGGGTGGTTGGGGGGTGTTGAGTCTAATTACTTTATTTGAACTTGGTTTATAAGAGTAATAGCTAAGTGTTCTAGCAATGGAGAGACAGTTTAGAGGAGGTTGGAATTTTGCTGTTTTACTTGGAGAGAGCCAGTAGCATCAGGATGAATCTGTAAGAACTTGACCTGAGTTTGCAGCAAATGACAGTGAAGCAAAAATAAGGATGTGGTACAGCTAAGGCAATTCCAAAACAAGTGTTTTAGACTTCAAGTTGCCAGAAGTAGCTCTCTTCTTGTGAAATAAGTTTCATATGATTTAAGTCAGTGTCTTCAGTTTCCTACTCTTGATGGTCCACCAGATGGTCAGCATGTTAACTCCCTTACCTAGTGTCCGTTACACATATATTCATATATGTATTCAGTGCCCTTAATCTCTTGGTTCAGGAGTGGTTGTTTCAGGACCATCTGGAAGGCCCCAAAGTGATCTCAACTAGTGATGGCCATGGAATTTTGTGGAGTTACCAGCAGCAAGCAGTTGCTTGCTCTGTACTCTCTGACAACAATGAGCCTTTTGGAGCAAGATGTAGGTACAGGATAACAGAAACTTTGTGAAGTTCACGGCAGTCTATTTTTAAAAGATCCGTACGTTTTTTGAAGAGCTGACACAGCGGTTTCTAGTGGTTGTTGGCAATGCTGGAGTGGGTAAATGGGAGAGGCAGGAGAATTCCAGGTGGGCCAGTTTTGGGCTGCTTACTGGAAGCTAATGAATAAACTCATGCATAAAAGCACAAGAACGCTCAGACAAACTATGAATGTTACATCCAAGTGTGTTTATGTCGTAATTTAAGGGTTAAACCTGCAGCCACCAACTCAAGTGGTTCAGCCCCAATTTGCTGACAGTAACTTGTACAGTGGATAGAGATTACATGAAGCTGAGGTTAGCTCCTTATTCTTATTTTCTGCTCCATGCTAAATGATGTAGCACTTGCATTCAGGCACCTGTACTGTCATGTAACTGCTGCATTATTTAAGGTGGAACCGTAATTCCGAAAGGAAGCTAACATCAGCCTCGAGAGATTATCAAATTAAGTGTGCCAATGTGGTGCTGGCTAACACAACAGAAAGTGCTCCACTGATCTTATTGCTGTAAGAAAAAGTCATTTTGAACAAAGGCAATGGTGCATATGAGTAAAGTAGCAGGAGAAATACAGTTGGAGTTTAAGGTGTGCTGGTCTGCATCATATAACTCCCAGTCTGAAAACATGTCCCACTCCAGCCCTGGTTACTGGCCACACCATTGATTTTTGTGCCAACCTCCAGTAGTATTTAACTAGGCAAACTGGTGGTTGCATATCAAGCACTTGGTTAGTCGATTATCATGCCCATCTATTATCACACGATTATTTCTTACAAGCATGAAATTAGGAACACTTTTGGGATTGCATTAGATGTTCTAACTCAGTGGTCACCATCCCTCCTCCTGGAGATGTTCGTTCCTGCAGAGTAACTTGCGTCTGCCCCTCTTTTACCTGACATGAATGCATCTGATCTAGCTGATCTAGGACTTATGAAGAGGTTAATTAGCTGGAGCAGGAGTGGAAGTTTATGGTTGGAACTAGTCTCCACAGGAAGGGTAGATCACCAGGACCGGAATAGTATCTTTAGATCATAAACCTTCACTCATTGCTCATTAAATGCCTAACCCCCCAGAGAATTATTAGCAGTTGTTAGAAAGCGAAGGGAGAATAGAATGCATCATGGAAAGCAGTTTTCACACACAAAATCAGTGGATCAAGGCATGATGGGCGGTGCCCTGCAGTGCACTGGACGCTCCCTTGCTCTTTGTGTACTGAGTGTAATGACTAACCCCCCCGCTGGTCCGTTAGAGCAGTGCCACTGCCGTATCTGGGCACTGTCCGTCATTCATCCAAACCCCATCCTTTATCTCCTCCTGCCCCATCTGGATGAATGGCTCCTTGTTGTTGCCGTGGCAATGTCCCAGCCCTTGCTGTTTGTCCTCTCTGAAACAAACAGGAAAGAGGTGGAGTTCAGGTGACAGTGAGATGCTGCATGGAAACCTGTGTGTTGTCTGCTGAGGTAGAACTGAACTGCTCAGAGTTCCACTTTCTGTCTCTGCAGCTGTGAGTAAAGCCGTTATGGTGTCCTAACCTGTGCTGTGTTTGCTTCCCTGACCCAGCACCGCCCCAGTTTGTGATCCGACCGCGAGACCAGATTGTGGCTCAGGGGCGCACGGCCTCCTTTCCCTGCAAGACCAAAGGGAACCCCCAGCCTGCGGTGTTCTGGCAGAAAGAAGGGAGCCAGGTAAGACTGATAAGTTGGTAGCTGTGTCATAATAGCTTGATCATTTACCATTATTGTCAATTTAGTGAATAATTTAAGCTGTGTTAACAAGGATGTTTTGGTATCTGTGAAAAAGATGTTATATCAGAGTGTGTTCAGCCAGAAATCTAAAGGGGAACTCCACTGATCTTTTAACATTTTTTGCGTAACAGAATGGTCAAGATGTCATTTAGTGTCATGTTCTTCAATCTGGAGAAACTTGCTGAGTCAAATGTGTTCACAATAATGGTAATGCTACCTCACAGGCAGTTATAGTTACAAATATTCTGTATTTTTATACGCTGTATATGCTGTATTTGTATGATGTATTTGAATCACTGTCAGAACAAAGCCCTTTGAAATGGTAACTTTATAGGAGAAGAAAAAAAACTTTATTAGGTCATAATATAAAATAATGTAGAAAGATTTTTTCCAAGTAATTTTGAGTTTTCAAATGATGCAACAATGTAAAAAATGACAAAAAAGGCATACAAGGTTTTTGCAGAACAGTGAAAATATGCTGTTGTGATTACAGATATGCTGCCTGATACCTGAGCCATTGTTTTACAGGAGTTTTGAGATAAAATTATGACCCAAGATGTATTTTTTCAAAGACTGTTCATGACAGAGAGATACATGCAGGGTGTTAGGAAAAATAGTCAACAGAAAAAGTTTTTTTTTCTGATGTACCACTATTTTACCATTATCTACATTACATGTAAAAACTCTTTTTTAAAGGTTTACTGATATTTTTGGATAGTACATTAACCCTTTTGTGGTGTTCGGGTCTGTGGGACCCTTTCTCAATGTTTACCAAAAGAAAAAATTATGTGATTTATTATTATTTTATCCTCAGATTCCTTGGCCTTTGCTCATTTTCTGTGAAGAACATATAAAATAACACATCTTCAGTGCCTTCACACTGTTCACCCCCTATACATTTATATTACACATATGGTATTGGGGTGAACCTGCAGGGAATAAAAGTGTGGAGGTGCTGTGTCCCTTCACTCTGTTCTCTTCCTACATGGCCTGCTGTTAGTGTGTGTGTGTGTCTGTGTGTGTATGTATTTGTATATGTGTGTGTGTGTGTGTGTGTTAGTGTGTGTTAGTGTGTGTGAGGGTGGACAACATGGACAGGCTGCTGACTGGCTACAGCTGCTAAAGGAGAAACCTATGCTGGCCACTTGTGATATATCTGGTATTTTTACATAAATTGTTATGGCTATATTGATTAAAAAAAAACAATAATGCAGTGGGTCCACCAGACCACTGAGTAACAAAAATGTGAACACCACACAAGGTATAAATCTATTTGAATCTATCTATAAGCTGTTTTGGTTCCTGGTTCCTGTCACCAGCAATGTAAAGAAATCCAAGATGGTAAATATCTCTAGAGCAGAACTTCAGACCACTCTGAATAGCTTTATTTACATTTCAGTGTTGAATTATACTGAAATTGTGAAATATTAGTGGAATTCCCCCTTTAAACTCTGGTGAACTTTTTCAGTGGACAAGAGATAGTAATGTTGGTGACTGTTGGTTGGTGTCTGTTGTTCATCAACGGATTGTTCTCGGTGAAATCAATGGCAAGAAATGTGCTATGACAAATACTAAAATGTTGTAAACGCAGCGGTTAGACATTAAGACATAGAAAAAGGGGTTTATGTAACCGCCTGCATTCCCCCAGCACATACACACCTAACAGTCCCCTTATGTTATTGCACTCAGTAGAATGGCTCTTACCTCGGCACTCTAAGCCACATATGCGCACAATCAGTCTGGACCCGAACTCACTTACTGTAAGTGCCACTTACACAATGAGTACGGTAGCATTTTCCAGAGAGGAGATTCTACCTACATGCACATACTCACACAGAGATCATAAACACATCAGTGCAAATCAATATTCAATATTGATGTTAAAATGACTGTCCTTTTTCTAAACAAACTCAAAATACAGAATCTCTTTCTCTCTCACTTTCATTTTCTCTCTCACTCGTGTGTGCATGTCCATGACTTAAATAAGATATGATGGCATTTTTTAATGCATTAATTAAGTAATTAATTTCAGAGAGAAGCCTTTCAGTCACACTTGAGGATAATGGAGTGGACATCTATCATGTCTCCATGGTTGGAAAGGCTAATTAAAAAAAATACACACACACAGAATAATTTGCCGCATTAAAGTCATTAGGTGTAATTGAATCCGGCTAATGTCTTCCTCTTCTGTCAGCTTTGACAATTCAGAAAAAGAAAGAAAATATGAAAAAAGGCTTTAGAGGGAGGCAAGGTGGGCTGGGCTGAAGGATATAGAGTGCGGGGAAAGGTAAGGGCTCAGGGTCGGCCCGCTCTCTGGTGGCCATTAACAAAGCCTGCTCGTTATCCTCGTTAATTAGCAAACGGTCTAAACTGATGAGCAGATCTGAATTAGCAATGAATCACCTCGGCTCTCGCTCCATGAATAAGCTCACCCGCAGACCCCATTTGAAGCTGAGCCGCCACCAGAGAGGCAGTTTGTAAACAATGCAGGGCACAGCAATTACGACAGTCATTGAGACACAGTGTTTATATGGGGTTAACACTAACACCTAGCAGGGATGGGTGGGCATGGGTGAGCAGTGGGTGAGCAGTATACTATGGAATCCAGACTTAAAAATGTGTCTAGTACTGGCCATGATGCTTGACTCAACCATAAAGAAGTTAATTTACAAAGAGCAGGAAATTGGGATTCACCAACTCTGATGTGTTTTTACTATTTTATTTTAGATAACATTTTAGGTTTTTCAAAGTAGCCCCTCTTTGTCTGGCACTCTCTCACCTTGTTAAAAGAAAAATTAACAAGTATCTCCATTTTCTTCCAAGTATCTTCCAATTTTTATTTATTTGCATCATTTGAGCACAGCAGCTGCCTTTTACATTGTGTGAAAATTTCATGATGAACAGGCCAATAGAAATACTCCAAATTTGGTTGGAATAAAATATCTTTACATTAACTTAAAATGGAAGTAAATAAGCTTTTTGCCTTCTCCTGTGAAGGTCAATTCATCATGAAATTGTCAATGTGCAGAATCATTTCAAATGGTGTAAAAAATAATATAACAACTTCTGATACGACAGCAAGGATGCATAAACAACAACTTCTCTATTTGTATTTGTTAATAAAAGCTTTTAGATCAAACTTTCTCTAAGATGAGAAAAACACAAACTCAGTCAGTGTCCAAACTGAAACATTGTAATATTACACCATAATACACTGGCATGGTCACCGCAGAAGGCCTCTGTGTAGAGTTCAGCCTGATCCAGTGTGCTGGTCTCAGCTCAGCTTCACTCTTCTCCTCTTTGTTTGTTTGTGTAGAACCTGCTGTTTCCCAACCAGCCGCAGCAGCCCAACAGCCGCTTCTCAGTGTCGCCCAGCGGAGATCTGACCATCACGGGCGTGCAGCGGGCAGACGCCGGCTACTACATCTGCCAGGCACTGACCGTGGCTGGCAGCATCCTGGCCAAAGCCCAACTGGAGGTCACAGATGGTGAGTGCTGGAGTGGATCAGAGCAGAGTCCAGGCCTGATGTGAAAATGCCTGAAGCCTGTCCTGTCCTGCTTCTTTCTTTTCTCTTTCTTTCGTTTTTCTGAGCTCTCTGATTCTTTGTTTTTTGATTTTCTGGTGCATGCTGTAGTTCCACTTCTGTTATCCCTGCTGAAAAAATATATTACATCAACAGAAAATGTAAACGTAAAGAAAATGTGAAGTATGGAATGTACTTGATTTGAATGATATGCGTATGTTCTGTGTGTGATTTTAAAAAAGCAGGTAAACTGAAAGACAACATTTACTGGAGTTACATGTTTTATTTATGTGGATTCAGTGCTTCACTTTTTTCCATTTACATCAGACTCATTTTGGACAATCTGATGTAAAATATTAATTTTATTTGCTAGAGTTCAAGGGTTTCTTGGAGATGCCATAGTGAAGTCGTCTTTCATTCAAACCAAGTTTTCACAAACATATCTTTCTTCTGATAGCACATTAAGCAAAGCAAGTCTTTGTTACCTAAAACATTCCTTCTTACATCTTCTAAAGCCTTATGTTCTTTTATCAGAAAAGCTCAGAGGAGCCATTTCTTGCTCTGTCTCTCTTTCTGTCTCTTTTTCTCTTTCTTTCTCTCTCAGTTGCTTTTAGATTCCTTATTCATCTGTCAGCCTGCTTTGTGTGATTCACTAACAAACTCTCCAGTGAATGTATCTTCATACCAGATCAAATGTGCTTGGAGAGTGCTTCACTCTACAGTGTGTACACAACTGTCAGCAGAGAAAAACACTTCTTTATGCTGCTTCTCTATTGACATTGGAGGCTGAGTTGGAATTTGGCCTTGAATTTTCCCTGAGCAACATTGATTGTGCAGTACAAAGTGAACCGAATGTCAGGCCTGATGCTGTGCATTCTGCCTTCTCAGAGTGTTGTTGTAGCAACTGTGCATAAACTTGTTCTAAAAGAGAAAAGTTAAAGCCAGATCACTTCAACAATAGTCAGCATCACTGACTGACTGACTGACTGACTGACTGACTGACTCTCTAATGGTAGATTGCACATTCTGGGCACTGAAGCAAAATCAAATACTACTAATACTAAAAATACTATGTTATTATGAAATACTATTTGTTTATTATGTTCATAAAAGGACAAAGTGGAGTAATATGTCAATACATAGCACAACAGAAAATGACTTACTGCCATAAAAGAATGAAAACTGTTCTCCCACTAATCTCTTAACCACAAAAACCACAGACAAATAACATCAAAGAATCACTGTAATTGAACTTGACTAATTCCACTGATTTTCAAAATTGCACAGTTCAATCATTGACATGTAAACAAAATCATTCGCATTGTTTTGATATGAAGTGGTGTATGGTAGGAAACTTACTCAGATTTCTTTACAATGGTGCTGATGAGAAACCAGGTATCATGATGTCTACAGTACAAATATAATCATATTTGCTACCCAAGCCTTCTAGAGTTTTATGTGTAATGTTGATTAGGGTAAAATAGTGGTAAGTCTGATAAAATAAGTTTTCTTTAGGGACTATGTTGCCTTACAATATCCTGCATGGAGCTTTCCACTGTGATCAGATTAAAAAACAAAAAAACATTTTAGACCAAAATCTTTTAGGCCAAAGTGCTTCAGACATCTGGCTCCTATCACCACAGCTGCGAAAAATTCTGACTTGGTTAGTTTCTCTAGAATGCAGTTTTTCTAGTCAAACCTTTCTAAATGACCACTCTGATTTTATTGAACTTCATAGCTTATTGTTCTGTCCCCTTAGTATTATAGGTTCAATAAGCTCTATATTTTAATAGAGCCGGATAACGTTAGCAACAAGTCTTTTTATATAGCAGACAAATGTCTCACAGGCTGCCTAACTGGCCTTACCTAGTCTTCTTTTCCAGAGTTTTTGCCAAAGTCAAAAAGTGTCCTTGAAATTTCACATGGATTTTTTTAAGGAATAATGTGAATGTTGTTTTTCTCTGCAGAGATGGCAGAAGTCACAGCCTTGAAAAATAAGCTTTCAGAATACCTTTAAAAGACTTTTTAATATTAATATATAATATATAACAATATTTTATGCACAAAACGTAAAAATGTTTTCGACCTAAAAATCGAGTTTTAAGATTTGCCACCTCTAAGCACGTAGACACACTATCATATTTGAATTGCATTCTCATGTGTGTGCGTGTACTCATAGCTGTTAGCAGAGAGAAATTACTGCTTTTTTGTGTTCACTCATGTTGGAATGCATGGGGGAGCAGAGGTATGGAGGCAAGCAGGTGGAAGAGATCAGTGGAAGCGGAGGAGTGTGTGTGTGTGTGTGTGTGTGTGTGTGTGTGTGTGTGTGTGTGTGTGTTGTTGGGCAGGTGATCAGAGTCACACCTGCTGCTTAAACCGTGTGATTTAGTGAAAGGGGGGGCTGACAAGTTCAAGGAGAGACGTAATGAGAAATTCCTGACACACACACACCCCAAGGACCCACTCTGTCTAACAGTCTGACCAGCTATCAATCTGTCATGTCGTTGACTGACACACACACACACACACACACACACACACACTTATTCAGTCTGAGTTTTACACATCACTCAATCATGTCTTCCAGATACACATACTAAAATGCACCCTCACAGTGGTAGGTTACCTTATTAAAGTGCCTGTCATGGAAAAATTTTTGTAATTTGTATGTAAACACTGCCAAAGTTTCAAAACATACCATTAACTCCACAGTCCATACAGTCAATATATAGAAACTACCTGTACCAAGTAATAGCCTCTTCTGCATTAACAGTTTTTGTGGTGTCATGTAAAATGCATTTATACATATCCACATATTCAGCCTGCAGAAAGTTAGACCCACCCATTTATGATGAACTTACATAAGCTGGTACATAAAACCACACAAATGTCTACAAAAGTGGACCTCAGGGGAAAACAATAAATACAAATGTGGGATTTAGGCCCTTAAAATTTGTTAAGAAGAAATTTTGTAGCATTTGAAGTTTCATTCATTCCCTAGTCCACACAGATCATACATGCAAACAAAGCTGCAAACAAAGCTGCAAAAACATCATCATCAAAAAAATTGTTCTTTTTGATATATTTCATATATGAAACCCTACATGCTTAGATTTAGTAAAAATAGAAATAGAATAGAATTCAGAACCATTGGCCAGCTGGAATTAGGCCTCCATATTTAATCCATCCCTGCAGTGAAACACCCACGTACATGCGCACTAGTGAACACACACACTAGGGGGCAGTAAGCACACCTGCCTGGAGTGGTGGACAGCCCTATCCACGGCGCCCGGGGAGCATTTGGGGGTTAGGTGCCTTGGCACTTCAAGGGCACTTCAGTCACGTACTGTCGGCTCAGGCGATCGAACCAGCAACCTTTCGGTCACAAGGCTGGTTCTCTAACCTCCAGCCCACATATAACTTATACATACGCCTATTTCACATACAGCTGTTTTGCTCCTCCCATTGACGTTGAATTTATAAGGTGTGATTTTTTTTGTGTTCACTCATTCTAACAAAAATCACTTATAACTTGGGCTGCTTTGTGAACAAGGCACTACTTTTGAACGAGGCACAATACAGGACAGCCAATTAGAACATTTACATATATCAATCTTACAAATAAATACAAATAAAATATAGATTTGGGGCCCTTTAAATTTGTTAAAAGGCTCATATCCTCTTTTTTTTTTTAAATGTTTGATATATAAACATTGCTAAAATGTCAAAACATGCCATATACTCCCCAGCCCATATAGTCCATATATTTAAACTAAGCTGCAAAAACGGCCTGTTTGAAATTCATTCTTTGTGATATTTCCATGACAACCTACAAGTTTACACACATCTGCTTCCACACGCTTCCACACATGCCTATTCAGCATACGTCGGTTTAGCTCCACCCATTGATGTCGATGTCACAAAGGTCATTTACATGTATCAGTCTTATAGGCACATAAAAAAGATTCTAAAGGAATAGAGGGTTTCAAAAGTAGTCTTGTATAAATATGTTCATAAACTCACATCTTAAGTATAAGGAAAGTATATGATATAATACACATAGTGTCTCTCTCCCCATAACCCCTGGAAGGTATACTGAAGGATTCTCAACTTCAATCATATCCAGCTATTTGCACCCATTAAGGATGGACAATGCAGTTCAATCTCAGAAGAGTCGTTAAGCCACATCAGTGTCTGTCTATCAGTAAATGATGCTGACTTTTCCCTGCTTTATGGCTTAGAGGAAGATAGCAGGATATGCGAGGAGATCTTTCTCTGGTTTAAACTAAGCCTAGGGTAATCCTTCTTGATGAATTAAGATGGCAACTCTTCATCCGCGGGCCCTGTGGAGCATTCCTGTGGAGATTTGGACAGTGTAAATACCATCCTTCATGCAAAAGGTGCATTGGGGAAATCCGCTGATGAGTGAGCGAAGGAGAAAAGCTGAGCGAAAGCGAGGGAGAGAAAAGGAAGGAAGAAAGATGTTAGTGGAGATGGTCTGAAAGGTTAGAGGTAGAGTCAGTAATTAGCACCCTCAGGTCTGCTCTCATTAATCCGCACCTGCTCATTACCGCTGCCTCTGGGCCAAGAGACAATGTATTATTCACCTCAGAGAGATACGCACTCGCCACTAGCCTGGGAACTACAGCTAACGCAAACCTTTTCAGACACTTATGCATACACGTAGACACAAGCACACAGCAGACCCCCAGAGCTCTGCCAAAATTCCAATATTAGGTTAGTTATGGAGGAATGAAATGATTACCTGATATGCCAGCACAATAGCAGCCTACCGTTTAGACACAACCACTAATAAAAAGGCTTTTCTTTGTAGTTGCCATTTTGCACAGTTTAGAGCAAAAGTTAAGACCTCAAAACTAAAATGCAACACATCGCTGTTGTCGGAACAGAACCGCATATCTCCAAAATGATAACTTTACATGAGAAGGAAAAAAACTTTACTTTTAATGTAAGTCAATTGAACCAGTGGAATGACTTTTTTCCAAGTCATTTTAGGTCATTTCTTTTAGTCCATTCATCGTGAAATTTACATAGAATGTAAAGGGTAACAGGTAATTTCAAATTATGTCAAAAACTGAAAAACATCAAAAATGGAGATATGAGGTTTTCTTCTGACAACAGCGATATGTGGAATTGACCTCATAGGGCCTAAATTTTCCTTAATGAGAAATCTTTGCAATATTTGATTTTAGCTTGTTGTTGCCACATTTTTCTTGGATTATATTTTTCCTCATGAGGGCCAGTTATAAAATTAGTGTGGTTTTATGAACCAAAAACAGTTGTAGTTCATTTTTACAAGACAATTTTCCAACCTCTACTTCTCCCCCAGAATTAAGCAGGCTCTCTTTGTTACTGTGCTTTTAAGACCATGATCTTTCTAAATGAGCTCTGTTCTGAGTGGCTGCAGTAGAGGCTCAGAAACACTCCTTATAACTTCAGTGCGAATGGCCGATGCTAAATAGGCTATAGTCTGAATAATTAAATATATGTAAATGTGCTGTTTTTTGTGACATCACTTAAACAGTGAATTCCAAACGGGCTGTTTTTTGCAGCTTATGTTTTTAAATTTTGCATTTGTGAGGCAAAGTATGGACAGATCCGTTATGCAGTGACCAAAAATAGTGCTAAAATAAATCAGAACTATCTTATGTTTTACATTCTTAAAAAAATAGTTCCCACTGAACGCTCCTGGCATTCTCTCAAGCAGCTTCATGAGGAGCCTAGGCATCTCTACACTGTTTATGTTTATCTTATAAACAAATTTCAAGCACTTAAGCGTAAGCAAGCATTTAAGACTATGAAAAATATTTATTGAGTTTAATGTGTCCAATCTGTTGACTCATACTAAAAAATATATCCATCATTATTACTCCATGCTTTATTCATTTTCAATGAAAGTCTGCTAAATGACACAGCAGAAGTCCACCTGTCCCTCCAGGCCTTGCCGTGTGTTCGGCAGGTGTGTTGTGTGTGTGTGGTGTGTGCCCCTCCTCCATTACTGCACACACTCATAACTGTAATTAAGTATTTACCTTGACCACACATACACTGTTATAGTGAGATATATTAGAAATGTAGGGGCTCTAAATGCCAAAAGAACACAGGCAGTAACTGGAAACTACCAAACCACCTCACCCCCCCCCACATCATGGAACGGGAAAATGAGAGTCAGCTATTCTGCCTCTTTTTCCCTGAAAGCCCAGAGCTAGCCATGGCCCTGTGGTTCAGCCACAGGATGGGCACATAAACCCCTCACGTCCAGCAGAGCGCAGGCCAGTCCTGGCAGAATCAGGCTTCATGATGCCAATTAGGTTTACTCTTCTCCTTCTCACTTCATCAAGCCAAACCTGGTGAAAGGAGCATAAATATAATGTATACAGTACTGTTCAGTAAGAGACCACACTTGATTTATTTAATTTCCTGGCAAAAAGGCCATCAAGTACCACTTATTAATTTTTGAGAAGATATGTTTGAGGAGATTAGATATAAGTTAATCCAATTTGGAATAACTGGATTTTACAAAACTGATGTTCAAAAAATGATTTAACAATATAGGGAAAATGGGAGACCTAGTACAGAGCACCAAAACTGTCGTCATCAGATAAAAAGCACTTCAAGCACAAACATAGAGTCCAGACCTTAACCCCACTGAATATATTTGAGATTAAGTGGATCATGGGAAGCAGAAAATGCAACCAATGTCTAAGACTGAACTTTGGAGGTTTAGAAAAATATCCCCACAGAATTCTTTGAAAAACACAAGTCACCTTAGTAGAATGGAAGGTGTAATAAAGGCAAGAGGTGGACACACTAAATACTGAAACATTTTATATATTTTTAGCTGTTGAGAATGCAAAATTGTCTGTTAAATACATGTTTTCTGTAAATGTTACACTGTAAAAAATGTCACATCAGGTCTACCTATTACTTCCCTAATAATTATTATATATTTTGTCTATATATATATATATATATATATATATATATATATAAATAAATAGAGCAGAAGTGTGTAAAGTGTGAATTTATGTATTTCTTTTGTTCATCTAAGTAAGTCTTGCTTTAAATCATTTTTTACAGTGTATAACTGCTGTTATTCACACACAGCTATATGTTTATTTCATCCTCTTTTCTCTTCGCTCTCGTTCATCCTCAGTGTTGACAGACAGGCCTCCACCAATCATCCGCCAGGGTCCGGCCAACCAGACGCTGGGAGTGGACAGCGTGGCTCTGCTGAAGTGCCAGGCGTCCGGCGAGCCTGTGCCGACCATCAGCTGGCTGAAGGACGGGGTCAGTCTGCTGGGCAAAGATCCGCGCATGTCCCTGCTGGAGCTGGGCAGCCTCCAGATTAAAAACATACGGGTGAGAGAGAACCAGCAATGCTGACACACGCACAGGCTTCTTTCAACAAACATTCATTTGTAATTGGCATATTGATGGTGAGAGGATGTGAAAGGTATAAAACAGAAAAGTTGAATTGCTTGTGTATTCCTTCCTCTTCACCTTCTGAAATGTTAACTTAACCTTGCTTGTAGTACTGTAAGCTTCAAAAAATGCACTTCAGCGTTTGATAGATGCTGAAAGTCTCTGCGTCTTTATTTGTAGTGCCTATGTGTGTGTGATTGTGCGTATGTAAGCGCCGGCTGTCAGACAGCATGGGTGTCTAAGTGTGATGTATGAGCTTAGCGGAATTCAATCAGATATTGGTAAGACATAACCTAGACGGGCAGGGGAAATCATATTGCATTAAAGAGATGAATGGGAAATATTGATTTTGGTAAATTGCTTGATACTATCACTTAGTGATACGACAGGTCTCCCAAGCATCATCTGTGTAGGCTTGGACGCAGTCCAACTGTGCATTCACAAACATACACACACACAAACATATATACATACATACATATAAAATCCATACACCCACACATGTACCACACTTTTGGAACCATATTACGTTTAAAGTCCCCACACCCTCCCACTTGTCCTCGATGGAATATCCATTATGGCTGACAGAGCTGCCCACCACTGACATTTTATCTAATAAATGGAGGCAAGGCGCAGTACTGAAAGGTAACAAACAACGCAGAAGGAAGCTTCCAGAAAAGGCAGGAGGGGAACAGGCGCCAGCTGTCATCAGTCCAGGGGGTTTCAGCCACTGCCCCTCTAAACGAATTAGACCACCTTTTGTTGCGGTTCGAGGGACGCTTGGTGAATTTGCTAGCAGGGTAAATGTTAGCTTAGGAGTGTAGAAAATAGAATTAATTTACCGCATTAGCGTCAGCACTTTCCGCCAGTTGGCTGGCCTGGCCTGTGTGAAGACTGAGACAGAAGCTCATGTGAGTGTTCTTACCATCTTTGGCATCATCATTTGAAGCATCAGTTGATGATGGTATTATGACACTGACTGAATTGTAAAGTGATGACTAAAGCAATGACTCTTGCTCTCTCTCTCTCAGCTCTCCGATTCTGGAATCTACACTTGTGTGGCTGCCAGCTCTAGTGGGGAAACATCATGGAGTGCTTTTCTGGAAGTGAAAGGTACATCACAACATCATTGAATCAGTCACTCTCCCCTGAAGCCTTTTTATGCAGGCCCCCTAGTGGGCATTCTGCTGGATGAACGGAAATGGAAATCAGTATTTTGCATTATTACAATGTATGAAAATCTTTTCTAATATTCAGCTCTGTAACCAGATTAATTAGGAAACTGTTGGCTCTTTTTGTGTGAAATGCTGTGTGTTGAGCTGCTAGTGAGCAATGAGGGGCAAAAGGGTGAGACCCCTCTTCTGTGATAAGTCCACACCTTTCCACAAAGATGGCCATGCTGAAATAAAACAGACCACACAACTGCAGCTTTCTAGATATCAAAAAAGTCTTGTGTGATACATAGCATTTAAACACAATAAAACATAAATGTTGACTTGCTTGCTCACCTATGAAGACAAAAATCCCATTCAGTTATATAACTCATACCCATTTCTCTTAAAATATATTCCATCAACATTATTGAAGAAAAAAATGGATGAAATACAAAAACTGAAAGAGGTCTAAGAAAGGATTTTTATATTTAATGGCTTCTAAAAAAAGGGCTCCATGACCCAGAAGGAAAAGTGGCTTAGAAAGTGTGGGTGTGTGTGTGGGTGTGTGTAAAAAGGGGTTAAAAAAAGACTTTTTATCTACACTCAGCCCCACACAGCTATGCTTTCACTAAAATCCCAAAGTTATCATTTGTGGAATTAACCCAGCATTGTGATATTTGCTGATGTACCCCATCTCCTCTGTTCTCAGAGTCTGCTGGGGTTGTGATGATTAAGAACCGAGATGAGAGTGAACTCCCTGGACCTCCCTCCAAACCTCAGGTCACTGACGTCACCAAGAACAGTGTGTCTCTGTCCTGGCAACCCGGCCTCGTCGGAGCCTCGCCCACATCTTCTTACGTGATCGAAGCATTCAGGTATGGACTACTACACTGTAACAGCATCACAATTAGTTTTATTTTATGAAGAATGTTGCACATGTAAGGAATTTGTCATGTATGACATGTAACATACCAAACTGACCAAAGTGCACAAGATTATTAACAACAGAATGTGTTGAATAATGAATAGGAAAAATGTAAAATCAAAAGAAATAACAGTAAGATAAAATATAGTTATGAAAAGTGCCAAAATATGATGATTTTTTTAGTATTCTGTATTATTTACAGTATATTTCTGAATTATGTGTGCATTTGTACAGTGATACAATGATACAGCTTGTGGCATTCATTTTAGCTGTTTCCTCAAAAAGTGAAAAAAGTGCCTTTTATGTCGTTAGTTGAATTTGAGGAAAAAATCTATTGTAGTGTGTGTGTGTGTGTGTGTATGTGTATGTGTGTGTGTGTGTGATGTCTCCCTTAATGTTGCTGACATTGCAAATAGACTGCTCTCCATTTCGAAATTGCCAGAATGTGCAGATGAAGCCATCATGTTGGAGTCATGCTGCTAACTCATTTGCAAAATGGACGCTTTTGTTTCCTCCTCTTGCAGCCAATCTGTGAGTAACAGCTGGCAGACAGTAGCGGACCACGTTAAGACCACCCAGTTCACCATTAAAGGTCTCCGGCCCAACACCATCTACCTGTTCATGGTGCGAGCTGTCAACGCGCAGGGCCTGAGTGACCCCAGCCCCATGTCTGAACCAGTCCGGACACAAGGTAAGTTCAGAGACGTTATCAGAGGAAAGAGACTCCACTGGCTGAAATAATATAAAATACCTTTGCAAACTTGAACAAGCTTTATAGAACATTGGCAAAAACCCCTTTCAGTTGAATGAGAAATTGAAGTGACCGTTGTGAAGGGTCACTACATAAAATTAACTGTCCATTTTAAAATGATGCCAACACTACTATCAGGGCTGGGTTGCTCACAAGAATCTTAGTACAAAAATAACTCTTAACCCTTGTGTGGTGTTCATGTTTTTGTTACTCGGTGGTCTGGTGGACCCACTGCATTATTGGTGTTTTAAAATCAATACAGCCATAACAATTTATCTAAAAATATCAGATGTTTAAAAAAATCCCAAGTGGTCGGCGTAGGGTTCTCTTTTAGCAGCTGTAGCCAGACAGCAGCCTGTCCATGTTGTCCACCCTCACATACATGCACACATATACAAACACATACACACACACACACACACACTAACAGCAGGCCATGTAGGAGGAGAACAAAGTGAAGGGACACAGCACCTCCACACTTTTATTCCCTGCAGGCTCACCCCAACACCACATGTGTAATATAAATGTGTAGGGGGTGAACAGTGTGAAGTCAAAATTTGTTATTTTATATGTTCTTTACAGAAAATAAGCAAAGGCCAAGGAATCTGAAGCTGAAATAATAATGAATTGCATCATTTTTTCTTTTGGTAAACACTGAAAACGGGTCCCGCAGACCTGAACACCACACAATGGTTAAATGGTAGAGTGAGCATAAAACTGAACACTCTCTCTGTTAATTAAAATGATCATAAAACTAAGATGCTTTTGGGTAACCCAGTCCTGGATTACAATAATGTAGCAAATGAAAACTAGTCAGTTTGGAAACATCAATAACAGACTTTCTTCCATGCTAATATTAGTTTAATTGCAACACAGTAAAGTCTGCATCTGTCCTCAACATGTGAACCTTAACATTCACACAAAATAAAATAACATTTAGCGCTCCAAATATATGTATTTAAAAAGAATTATGCTGTTGTGTGCCATAATTTCTCATTACGCTGAAGGGTTTTTTTGCCAATGTTCTGTTAAGCTTATCCATAGGATTCTACTGTCTTTGTGATACTCCACACTGGTTTTTGGCAAACATTAACAATATCCTTATACCAGAGTTAAGATTACCATAGAAGCAGCCATAAAGAAGCTTGGCATCATCAAATCTTTAGCATCTATGTTGTGAAGAGATATGCATACATAATAGCCAGAATAACCTGAATAATACCTTTTTTGGGTTACTTGAGCTGAAGACCACAAATTGTTTGTGGCATTTTCGTCAGATTTTACCAGTGTCTTCAGATATGTATTTGAAACGTTAGCTTTGGACTAGTTATGTGGTTTACAGGCCTCAGGTCTTCTGTAACAGGAAATAATTGCTAGAGTATTAGACAACCATAGCATTTACAAACTTGTCTATGAGGACTTTGGTAACAGTCCTCCTGCTGAATGAGGAAAAGACTGGGCGAAGTGAATAGAGCAGGAAAACACTGTTCTCTAAACCACTTTCTGCTACTGCAGAGGTCAGAAGTGGTTTAGCAGGGAAATGACCTTACCTCAATTGGTTACCCTCAAGCCTAACCATCAGATAAACTCATTACATCCCAGTTAGGACATAGTCCAGAATGAACATCTTTCACTTTTGGAGTTGATTATTGAGTTGGAGTCGTCCCTGCTACCTTAATGATCATAACTGGGAAAAATGACCAGCCTCAAACTGAAAGCGATTGGATTAAGGTAGCATGAAGCCCGCAGTCTGCTCATTAGGACTGGATGATAAGGTCTCTGCCTTGCAAGCTCGGCAACCTTCAGCTAATATGGTCTTTGAACACAAGTATGTGCCTGTAGCATCCTGTTTACAACAGTAAATGAATTAGGAGAGAAGTACATCTTTCTTATTTACTGGACGTGTAATGAAGTCCTGTGGACTTAGAATGTAAATGTAGTGAAATGGTTAATGGCACTGCTCTCTCTCTCTCTCTCTCTCTCTCTCTCTCTCTCTCTCTCTCTCTCTCTAGACATCAGTCCTCCAGCTCAGGGTGTGGATCACAGGCATGTTCAGAAGGAGTTGGGGGAGGTCATCGTTCGTCTTCATAACCCAGTGGTCCTTAGCCCCACCGCCATTCAGGTCACATGGACAGTAAGTCATTCACTGACTGTACAGTAATTAGACAGCAGATACGTGGCTTCCTGTACTGAACTAGAAATAGATCAGTGAGTGTTTGGTTGTAATGCTGACAGTGAGATTGTGCTGTTTTGACTGGTATGGTCAGTAGCTGAGGAAATGGAATTTCCCAAGTTTCCAAAGATCTAAAAGTGCTGCCAGGTCTCTCTCTTCATCAGTCAACCTTAAACTGCTGCATAATTGATGTACAGTAAAAACTCATTGTCTTTGAAAAATGCCATTTTGATTAATTGCGAATGCTGACTCAGTAAGTGAATGTCAGAAAGGTTTGAAGGAAGAGAAGAGTGCTCCCAATTGCGCTGTCACTCACACAGTCAACGTGAAAAGACTGCAGGCCCATCTGGTGCTTCATCAATCTAAAATCAGGTGCTTTTATTATAAATGAAGACAAATGGCTAGAACACACAGAGAGGAGGTGAAATTAATTGGTGACTTGTGACAATTATGTCCCTCAAACTGAGTTCAGTGATTTCAAATGTTATCTTACTTCAGATGTCATCTTAGTCTTTAAAATAGCCCTTTTTTGGTGTACTGTGTGTATATACTGTGTATGCTGTATATACGTCATATACTTCATATTACTGTATGTAGTACTCATATACTATATACTGTATATACTTCATATTCTTTATGTTACTGTATGGTGTACTGATACTGTATATGCTACATATACTGTATATTCTGCATACTTCATTCTCTACTGTATATAGTGTATATTACTGTATATGCTGCATATATTGTATATTATGGCATGTACTGCATGTTACTGTGTATTATCAGTGTTTAGATTCTTGATATCGATGGAAAACTGATATTTCCTCATTTATTGGTTAGAAAATCACGTCTATTTCCTTCTGTCAAGCTGGAGTATAGGTTTATTTGAGTGTCCTGAAGCTCAGCCATAAACACTTCTGAGTTTAGTGTTTGTTGAATTACATTAAAATGGAGATTGTAGGCTACCGTTTTGCCTGTCTCATTTGTTGATTAGCATAGTGCTGCTTTATATTACAGCTTCTATGAACAATCATTATGCAGCTGTACATGAGATTTTTCTCTTCAGCCTAGGAAAGATAGAAGGTTTCCAGAAATGGAAAGCTTACTGTATAAATAATTCCTCCAGCATTTACTTTTATTGTCTTATATTCTTGAGAATCTGAAGACCAAAATGCAAACTTTGCAGACAGTCTGTTATGGTTTAATTAGATGCTTGTATTGCTTGTATTAATATACATATAAATGCATTTGTGTTGACTTTGGTTCTGTTTTAAATCAGTGTTGATTTGTAATGCCTATAGCCAGCGTGCTAGAGAACAGGGAAAGTTAGGTCCATGCATGTGAGGCAAAGTTAAAGCTGGGCGCTCAATAATAAGTATAAAAAGCATAAGTAATAAGTATAATAAGTCTGTTATCTCAACCGAAAAGCAGTCCATCAAGTGGTCAGTAAAAAGAAAAAGCCTAGAAGACTGTGTAAGTTCCTCCCTGAAACACAGCACTGTCAGGTTGGAAACAAAACATGCTGTTCGCTGTGTTCTGTAAGCATCAGTAAAGCATTCCTGGCTCATTTGTTGTGTTGAAGTTAGAACGCAGAGGGGAGCAGAGTAGATGGGGCCATTCTGCTGATTTAATCTGTCTTTAGGGGGAGTAAAAAACAGCTGTTTAATATCTCTGCCTAAAAGCCATGCTTTTCACTGCCCGGCAGCTGAGTAGCCATTAGTGTGAGTTATGCCCTGTTGTGTCCTTCTCTCTGAAAATTCAGCTTTTCCTCTCCATTGAAAACATCACCGACTCCAAGGCTGATGTCTTGGTCGTGCAGATATGAGTTGTCAGTGGTTAAAATGTGTGTGTGGAGTGTGTGCATTTGTGAGCTCTCCCCTTTATCAGCGAGTGTGCAGGTGTCTTTTCTCCACTTTGGTTTGTGGAAGCATTTATTCTTTGCAACATTCTCCCTTCTAATCTCATATCCTGGTGTTTTCCTCTCACTCAAGCTCCTAACAGAGGTTACCCCAGCCCATGTTAGCTCTTCTGAGAACTGCTGTAGTGAGAATTTTACAACACATGAGGGTCATGTATATGTATTCCTGCGAGCAGCTGCTAAAAGCATTTTTATTGAGGCACTATGCCTCCTAAACATGAGGCTCCCTGTGGACACTAGCTGCATTAGAGCATGTAGGCCTTTAGAGTAAATGGTGAATGCTGCCATAACATCCTTAAATGTGAATTTAAGACAGCATTATTAATCAGTTGGACTCTAATCACTAGATTCAGACTTATGGTGCAACAGTGGATATATGTAATTGTGGGATTTGGGGGACGTGTTAAAGAAGGAAAAACATTATTAGGCATTAAAAATGCTTTAATACATTATGATGCATAAGTCTGAGTCTGTTCAACAGCAAGATTTTAGATTTTAAAAAAGTTTTTCTGCAGTGTTTTCACTGTTGATTAGGAACTTTTTGGGTCTGTAATCCCAGTAATCAAACAACCAAAAAAGTCGATAATTATGCACAATCAGCAATATTTTGGCTAAAAATGCTAAAATCATGAGTTCTTAATATCTGTAAATATTATTGGCTGATCGATATATGTGTTGGCCCTACTTTCTACAGCTTTGTCTTTTTTCTCTGGGGTTTTCTGCAGGTGGATCGTCAGAGTCAGTTCATCCAGGGCTACAGAGTTTTGTACAGGCAGACGTCAGGGCTGTCGTCCCCAGGATCGTGGCAGAGCCAGGATGTGAAGGTGCCCTCAGAGAGAACTGTGGTGCTCTCCTCACTGAAGAAAGGCATCGTCTACGAGATTAAAGTCCGTCCCTACTTTAACGAGTTCCAGGGCATGGACAGTGAATCCCGGACAGCAAGGACCACCGAAGAACGTAAGCTTTTTTTCAGGACAGTGTAAAATAAGACGAGCAAAAGGATAAGCAATTTCTGTTGTTCATTAGGTTCTGCTTAATTTGCTGCATTATGTTAAATATCAGAAAATTTGATGAACAAATTAAGCCATTAATCTGAAAGTTTTCGCTGAGCTTACTTGAGCACAAATGATGAAATTATCAAACCACAGGGCTAAAAAGTGAGTTTATATCACTTAATGTGTCATAATAAATTGTTTTTTGCCACATGCCAAAACTGCTTTTCACCAGCAAACATGAAAGAATAACAGAAGTCTGAAGTTTAGATCAGAATGTTTTGGAATATATTTACTAATATTATTTTTATTGTTTAATTCAAGCCATTCAACTTGAATGAACTTTGGTATGGCCCAACTGGACAGCTTTTCTTGTCCAGTTTTGGATTCTGGTTTATGTGAAAGTTGATGTTAATGCATATGACCAACAGTTACACATGGAGAAAGTTGAAACTTCAATAGAGATCTTTGTAGCAAATACGCAAATCTATTGGTCTTAGGTTAAAAAGTAGTCCATATTGTGGTCAGTAAGAAAAGAGCTAGATGTATTTAGTTCCAAAATGTAACACTTCAGGTTGGAAGCAATACTTGATTATTACTGTATGATTGTAACATTTTTCACACAGCTCTAGAATGCATAATAGACTTAGCATTGATTTTTTTTTGTCACAAATTTGGAGAGTGTCTTTTGCACTCAGTATGGTGTTATATGGTCTCATTTAATATTAGATGCCACCTACAATATTCAAAGCCACTTAATCCACACTGTGGGCAGAACGCCTAGATCTGCAGTGCAAACAAGTGCTTTTGGCCAAACACTGTCTCTCTCTCTCCACACACACACACACACACACACACACTACTCTTACATTCAGGGCTTTTACAGCAGCACTAGCATTATTGTCCTGTCATGAACATTGTCCCAGTACCCCTATTTCCTCTGACACTGAAGAAAACTGCTCATATTTTTACAGTTACTGACCGATTTTACACACTGCTTGTGGAATAGGTGTGTGTATGTGTTGTGTGAGTGTGTATGACTCACAGCATGTCGAAATAAGCAGGAGTACAGTATGCACACCCTTCAGGAAGCCCTGCCTCTCCTGATTTACAGATATTTGACCACCTACCTGTCCACATACTGCCACAAGCATCAGCCTGCAACTACACTCTATAAAATAAAGATGTCAGTAAAGAGGTTCTTTGGCGCAGTGCTGTGGAAGAACCACTTTTAATTCCCCAAAGAACCTTTTGTAACACTTCAGTAGCATTAACACTCCAGAAACTGGTAGTTATCTGACTCCTCATTGCTCCTTTATTAGCTAACAAACCGGCAGCTGATAGTTAGCTAGCTGCTAATTACTACTTTATTAATTAACAAACCAGTAGCTGATAGTTTACTGACTCCTCATTACTACTTTATTATTAACAAACCATTAGCTGGTAGTTAGCTGGCTGCTAATTACTACTTTATTAATGAATCAGCCAGTAGCTGGTAGTTAGCTGACTTCTCATTACTACTTTATTCATTAACAAACTAGTAGCTGGTAGTTAGCTGGCTGCTAATTACTACTTTATTAAGTAGTAAATATGGCGATTAAATTGTCCAGTGCACTTTTTTGTGTGTTAGTAAACAAAGTATTTTGCATAAAATATTAGGTGTCCATAATGCCTTTACTAAGCTTTATCAAGCCTGCTAGCTGGTAACTAACTTACCATGCCAGTAACTGATAATTAACTGGCTGTTCATAACTACTTTATTAAGCAATAACTATGAAATAAGCATCTAACTGAGCACTTTTATTTACGTATTATACAATGTAATATTGTGCACTATCTAACGCATTCTGGTCTGTATGGAATGACCTTATTGCTGAACTCTGTAATGAAATTCCCAAATAGTTAAATTGTGTCCGACCAGATTTTTTGGGTGTTTACGTTTTTAATCACCAATTACCTGTAAATAAAACTGATACCATATTTTGAAGTGAGACTTCAGGTTTCTAGTTGAACATTTGCACAGCTGCTAATTCACTCAAGTTATTGCTTAATAAAGTAGTGATGATCAGCCAGTTAATTAGCAGCTACTGACTTGATAAGGCTTATTTTGAACATTACAAGTGATCTATAAAATGTTGAATTCACCCTAATGATTGCTTAATAAAGTAGCAATGCACAGTTAGTTAACTACAAGCTACTGGATTGTTAAGGCTTCATTATGTCCCCCTACACTGAAATGGTACCAAATCTGTCAATGGAATTATTGACTGATTTTTATAAATGAGATGTGTGAGTGTGAAGAACTTTTCAGAATCATCCACATAATTTAAAGGTTCTATACCAATGAAAGCCCTTTTTAAAACCATGCATTCAAGGCTAGAACTGTTTAGAGCCTCTTTATAGAGTGTAGCTGCCTCTGAACCCGTCCCCTCAGTATGTCCAGCATTATAAAGAGCTAAGTGGGCCCTCTGGGTGAGTGTGTACTAGCATGCTACGTAGCGATAGGAACAGAAAGTGCAGAGATATGTTAAGTCCATTTGAGGCTGTGTAGATAAAAAGTGTAACATGTCCTGCTACTATGTGTGGACCTAAGAAACATAGAGGAGCCTAACTCATTCACATACACACAAATACATGTGCACTAGCAAATGTGAAGCAGAGGGGTTGCTGGTTATAGGCTTAAATCAGTGACAGGCTCATTTGTTATCCACAGTCTCTGTGGAGTCCTATCTCCGGTGTACAGCATTGCCTCTGTCTGTTGTACTGCTTCTTCCTCTCTCTACATGTGAGTCGCACCCGTTACCAGCTCCAGATAAAGTTCTGGGCTCCCTCACGGAGCTGCGTCCTGGGCCCTACTTACTGTTTTTCCTCTTGGTGTTTTTTGAATGTTTTGTTGGAGTTGGTGCGGAGGATGATTTATTGGCTATTGTACTCGATTGTGTGATTTCACAATTAGTTTCCCTTCAGAAGCTGCCAAACATTGTGCTTATTCCTCTTTTCTTTTATGTTCACTTTTTCTTTTTCCATTTTTTTTCTATTGCATTCATGGCAGATATAGAATATACATCAAATGTAAAGGCAATGTAAACACATTTATGTAGTTATATTTCAATGGTATAGTAAAATTACATTAATAACCCTAGAATTTTTTATTTTATAGCATTGTATTACATTTTTCCAAGCTTTTACTCACATTATATCCTTTTTCATTTTTCCGTAACAATGTAATAATGGTGGTTTCTATCATTTTACATATATAAGCCATCATCATTGGCATAGTAGAACACATGAGGATCATATCATATCCCATGCAGGGCAGGCACTCATCTCCTGTGCCAGTATTAAAGCACCGCAGACTGCTCCCTCCAGGCTAAAGCTGTGGGAGTGAAACAGAGGTCACGTTTCTGCCAGCCATACATCACCATGCTAATGGTCCTATTAGCATCGCCTGCGCCATCGCCCCCCAAATGAGAAATATGTATTGTTTGGCTCAGATACGCATAATGATAAGCCGCTAAATGATTTGCAGCATTAACTTTGAATGACATTGACTACATTCTGTGCGGAGGGAATGTGTCACCTGTAGGGCCGTCTACCAAAGTTAATGCAGTATAGCTCCAGGCGAACTGGGGAATCTGATCTGCTGACTGGATTCAGTTTATTTTGGGTCAGATGTGGATGTTTTGATGCGTGGCAGCCATGTGTCATAGCATGTAGTGTCTAGTGAGAGTAGGAGAGACAGACACACAATATTACTTTACTGTAGTTTTAAAAATACAGCATTGTACAATATAATACAACATAATTCAGACCCTCTCTATAATACAATAATTATTAGAATTGCTATTATAAATGTGGTTAAAGCTGCTGCTGTTGTCATACCAACAAAGCCACTTTGAACTTGGATTTGATAGAGAAGCAGATAGAGAGAAAGAGAGAGAGAGAGAGAGAGAGAGAGAGAAAGAGAGGGGGGGGCAGAGTGAGAAAGATGGAGAGAGAGAGAAAAAAGAACAGAGATGGAGAGAGAACAAAGAGATTGAGAGAGAGGTGGAGAGAGAAAGAGAACAGAGAGCAGGAGAGATTGAGAGAGAGGTGGAGAGAGAAAGAGAACAGAGAGCGAGGGTGATTGAGAGAGAGGTGGAGAGAGAAAGAACAGAGAGAGAGAGATTGAGAGAAAGGTGGAGATAGAGAGAGGAAAAGAACAGAGATGAGAGAAAGAGAACAGAGAGAGCGAGAGATTGAGAGAGGGGTAGAGAGCAAGAGATTGAGAGAGGGTGAGAGAGAGAGAGGTGGAGAGAGAAAGAGAACAGAGAGTGAGAGAGGGAGGTGGAGAGAAAAGAGAACAGAGAGAGCGAGAGATTGAGAGAGAGGTGGAGAGAGAAAGAACAGAGAGAGTGAGAGAGAAAGAGAACAGAGAGTGAGAGAGAAAGAGAACAGAGAATGAGAGAGATTGAGAGAATGAGAGAGAAAGAGAACAGAGAGAGCGAGAGATTGAGAGAGAGGGCGAGAGAGAAAGAGAACAGGGAGAGGGAGGGGGAATGGGAACAGAGAGACAGTTGTACACCACACTGACGCTTACAAGCCAAAATATCTATAATTTAATAAGTATTATTGTTGATAATGCTATGATTTGTGATTATGATTTATGAGTAATTTTGTTGTTGTTTTTGTTAATAAGATTTAGCAGTTTTGTAAACTGTACAGTCACTCCAATAAAGCTACCTTGAACTTGAACTTCAAGGAGAGAGAGAGGGGGAGAGAGAGAGAGAGAGAGGGAGAGAGGAGCTGTAATTGAGCTGTCAGTATTCTGTTGTGTTGTAGTTCTCCAGTCCCCACAGAGGAAATGAGAAAGCATTATTTTTCACGACACTGTGCCGTTACATTTCTCCACCTGCCGCGCCTGCGTCTCCATCAGAGCAGCTCCAGCGCGAGTTTAATAGAGCTAAAGGCTGAGGTCCTGCCACGCGTCCACACCACAGTCACAGAGCACCGCTTTCAGCACAAAACACACTTTCTCCTCTCCTCTCTTTCATTCTGCTCATTCAGTCTCAACCTGCAGCCTCTGCTTCACTCAGTATGTTTACTGCCCCGGCACTCTCTCTCTTTTCTTTCTCTTTTCTTTCTCTCCCCCTCTTACTTCATCCATCTCATCACGTCTTTTTTCTTTCTGTCTTTCTCTTTCTTCATCTATCTCTTCATGTCTTTCTTTCTCTCTTTCTCTCTCTTTTTATATTTCTTCCCCTCTCACTCTCTATCTTTCATTATCTCTCCCCCCCTCCTTTTTACTTATCACATTTTTCTTTGTCTTTCTCTCTTTTTCAAGTTGTCTCTCTTTTTCTCTCATTCTATCTTTCTTTCTGTCCCTTTATTTTTGTCTTATACTCTCTCTCTCTGTCTCTTGCTGTCTTTCTCTTCCCTTCTCTTTTTCTCTTATTCTTTCTCTCTTGTTTGTTCTCCTCACTCATGTCTTTGTTTTTCTTTTTTCTTTTATCCCTCTTTCTCTTTAAATCTTTCCTTCTCTCTCTTTCTTTCTTGCTGTCTTTCTCTTCCCTTCTCTCTCATTCTTTCTCTCCTGTCTTTTTCTCCTTATTCATGTGTTTCAGTGTGTAATTCTTTCTTTTTTCTTCTTTTTATCCTTTTCTATTTGTATGTGTTTCTCTCTCTCTCTCTCTCTCTCTCTCTCTCTCTCTCTCTCTCTCTCTCTGTAAATGTGTGTGTTGTAATGTTCCTCACGTTTCTCTCTTCACCCTGTGAGCTGGGAGACCTGCATGGCTTCTCCTGCGATTCGCTCCAAAAACCAAACTATTGGTGATGGCTCAGCGCCGTACTGTCACTCCATAAAGAATCGATGCTGGTGTTTCTGTGTAAATCCCCAGGCTTCAGAGGGGCGAGGATATTAAATCATAGTGAAATGTGCAGGAGTGTCAGTGTCAGGCTAAAGAAAATCCCCATCTAATGAACTTCTGCCCTCACAGCCACCTGCGGCACGCATTAAACCAGCCACACAGACACTCTTCAGTGTTACACATGGAGAGATAGAGAGATAGAGAGAGTGTGGAGTGATATACATGTGCCTGTCTGCTCTTCTGGACTGATGCTGTTCAGGCTGCAGTTCTCACTGATTTCTCTCTCTCTCTCTCTCTCTCTCTCTCTCTCAGCTCCCAGTGCCGCTCCCCAGCAGGTGACGGTTCTGACGGTGGGGAATCAGAACAGCACTTCTATCAGCATTTCTTGGGATCCCCCTCCTGCTGACCATCAGAATGGCATCATTCAGGAGTACAAGGTAGGCTTACAACTCCTTTTTTTTCACTAATATGCACCTTACAGGCACATTGTTTAACCTGGAAAGGCAGCAGTGTTTTCTCTACCTGTCATTAATTTGGTAGAAAAATTTGTAGGTAATGAAGTCACAGGTCTTTTGCGGGGCTACAGTGATTAATTGAGAAAGTCGATTGATGATGTTGATTCTAGAAAAAGTTGACTGCCAGTTAAATAAAAACAAACAGTGTTCTGTAATGCTCTATAATGTTCATGTAGTGCATGCATTCTTTCTGATAGACTGCAGTACTCCACAGGAAGGGTAGGGGGTGATATGTTGTCTTCTGTTGTTTCTTTGCACCATAAGAAAAGAAATGGTTTGTAGGACAGTTGTAACCTTCAGTGTGTTGAACGATGGTGGTGCTGTTTTACTCAGCAAAGTGAGGGGAAAACGGAGAATATAATGGTTTGATTGGTCAAGTAATCAGATAATAGTTAAAAGACAGGGATGGATTGCTGACAAGGCCACTGGTGCCAGTGCCCAGGAGCCTCTGTGTGCAAGGAGTCCTTATACTTGGGAAATGAATGAATGAATGTATAATAACCCTTGAATATGTACACATGTCTAAATAAATGAAGGAATGTTATCTGTTCTCAGGCCCTTTCAGTTACTGAGTGGGATTGTAAGTTGCCATTCCATTGGGACGCTTTGTGATGTGGTGTTCCATGACTGATTTGGCTTGAAAGAAACAGCGAATCTTGCATGAAAATATTGAAATCTTGAGAAATCAGAAAGCTAAAACTGTTATTATGTAGACATTTAAATATTGCACATAAATAAAGCTAAAAAGGGGCCTCTCCAGACCATTATTCATGCCTGTCGATAGATTACTGGTTCCAATATCTAAAAATTTAGATTGTGTTGTATGAAAAAACACTTGTCTCCCACCCCACCCTCCCCTTTTTCTCTCTCCCTTTTTCTCTCTCAGATATGGTGTTTGGGGAACGAAAGCCGTTTCCACGTGAATAAAACAGTAGACGCGGCCATCCGCTCAGTGGTTGTGGGGGGTCTGCAGGCAGGGGTGTTGTACCGGGTAGAGGTGGCTGCAAGTACCAGTGCAGGAGTGGGGGTGAAGAGTGAGCCTCAGCCAATCATCATTGGTAAGATGGGACCACCTAATTTTCACACAGTTTTCTACACACCCCTTAGTATTCCTCAAAATGAATAGTTCTGTAAAAACTACATTTTACCCCTTAGCCCAGATGTACTCAATCAGACTCAATCAGATTACGTAGCTAAAAGTGTTGTCTGTACTTTTGCCCATTTTTCTAGATAACAATATGTTATCCAGTGTCAGAAACCACATAAGTAAGTCTATTTAAGGTTATTAACAGCTTCATATAGTTTGAGGCATGTGTGTATTGAGTTAGGTATACAGGTAACTTACTCAGATTAGCCTCATAGCTCCACTGCAAAACTAAAGAAGGAAGTCACCAGACTGTTCCTTCAGTCATCAAGCTATAATTTAAAATTGCATGTGAGCTGGAGGCAGGAACTTTGAAACAGGCTCCAGCTTGCTCTTTAATGCTGTTTGTGTGTAGAAATGTCAAAGTTGGCGAAGTTGAGGCTACCTTTAGACCATGTCTGAGAAAAATGCTTTTGATATCACTTTGCAGTGTGGGGTGTGATTCATGTGAGCCTTGACTGGTTGTGACTGGTTTGACCCATAACTGATGATTTGGCTGGTGGCATGCCCTTATTTCCCAAATGTCATCCTCACAATCCATCTCTTCTTGCAGCTAGCAGGAGATAGCCCATATATCAAGACTGAAAACTGTGTGTGCGTGTGTGTAGGTAAGGACTTCCGAGATGTGATTGTGAGTGGAAACAAGAATAACAGCATCACAGAACAGATCACAGACGTAGTGAAGCAGCCGGCCTTCATCGCAGGCATTGGAGGAGCCTGCTGGGTCATCCTCATGGGCTTCAGCATCTGGCTTTACTGGAGGAGGAAGAAGAGGAAGGGCCTCAGCAACTATGCCGGTAGGGAAATGCCTCATACACTCACAACGGAGCTTTAATTGAGCCTGAAATTTTAATCTGAACCCAAATATAGCCAGTATAAAGAACTTGCTTCCTGATCTGATAGGCAGTGACAAGATTAGAAACCAAACCTAAGTGTAGCCCAACAAAATTTTGTCCAAACCTGATTGTAGCCCAACAAAATTTTGTTCAAACTTGACTGTAGCCCAACAAAATTCTGTCCAAAGCTGACTGTAGCCCAACAATTTTGTCCAAACTAACTGTAGCCCAACAAAATTTTGTCCAAACCTGATTGTAGCCCAACAAATATCTGTCCAAACCTGACTGTAGCCCAACAAAATTCTTTCCAAACCTGACTGTAGCCCAACAAAATTCTGTCCAAACCTGACTGTAGCCCAACAAAATTCTGTTCACACTTGACTGTAGCCCAACAAAATTCTGTCCAAACCTGACTGACACCCAATAAAATTTTGTCCAAACCTGACTGAAGCCCAACAAGATTCTGTTCAAACCTGACTGAAGCCCAACGAAATTCTGTCCAAACCTGGCTTTAGCCCAACAAACCTCTTTCCAAACCTGACTGAAGCCCAACATAATTCTATCTAAATCTAACTGTAACCCAACAAAATTGTGTTTATAAAATTATTGGGCAACAATTATTGGTCTGTCCAAACCTGACTGCAGCCCAACAAAATTCTGTCCAAACCTGACTGTATCCCAACAAAATTCTGTCCAAACCTGACTGCAGCCCAACAAAATTCTGTCCAAACCTGACTGTATCCCAACAAAATTCTGTCCAAACCTGACTGTATCCCAACAAAATTCTGTCCAAACCTGACTGCAGCCCAACAAAATTCTGTCCAAACCTGACTTTAGCCCAACAAACTTCTTTCCAAACCTGACTGAAGCCCAACATAATTGTTTCTAAATCAAACTGTAACCCAACATTCTGTTCATAAAATTATTGGGCAACAATTATTGGTCTGTCCAAACTTGAGTGTAGCCCAACAAAATTTTGTCCAAACTGACTGTAGCCCAACAAATTTCTATCCAAACATGACTGTAGCCCAACAAAATTCTGTTCAAACTTGACTGTAGCCCAACAAAAGTCTGTCCAAACCTGACTGTAGCCCAACAAATGTCTGTCCAAACCTGACTGAAGGCCAACATAATTCTGTCCAAACCTGACTTTAGCCCAACAAAATTCTGTTCAAACTTGACTGTATCCCAACAAATTTCTGTCCATACCTGACTGTAGCCCAACAAAATTCTGTCCAAACCTGACTGTAGCCCAAAAAAATTCTGTCCAAACCTGACTTTAGCCCAACAATTTTGTCCAAACCTGACTGTAGCCCAACAAAATTCTTTCCAAACCTGACTTTAGCCCAACAAAATTCTGTCCAAACCTGACTTTAGCCCAACAAAATTCTGTTCAAACTTGACTGTATCCCAACAAATGTCTTTCCATACCTGACTGTATCCCAACAAAATTCTGTCCAAACCTGACTGTAGCCCAACAAAATTCTGTCTAAATCCAACTGTAGCCCAACAAAATTCTGTTCATAAAATTATTAGGCTACAATTATTGGTCTGTCCAAACCTGACTGTAGCCCAACAAAATTCTGTCCAAACCCAACTGTAGCTGTAAAATTCTGTTCAAACTTGACTATGGTGCTCAAAATTCTGTCCAAACCCAACTGCTCAACAAAATTTTGCCAGAACCGGACCTGAAGCTGATTTCCATCAACCAAATAAAACTCTGCATTTCTAATTGTAGCACTTGCTCTGTTACCTTGTAGTGAGACTAAGAGCTCAGATCATCATATCATTGACAAACTGATCAACAAATTGTAGAAAAACAGCCTAAAAGGTAAATATGAGTTTAAGTATAATTTCTAGTTTAATTAAATAATTCATCGATTAATGCCTTTGAACAACAGTCTGAAATTGTTTAGTCTGGATAAAGTTTACGTAATTCATTGTTCTCATGCTGGCCTGGTGGACTTCGGAGCAAATAACATAAGTGACTTCAACGTGCTAGAATAAAAACTACTTAAAGCAGGCCAGTGAAAGTGGAAAGGAAGAGCAGATGGAGAAAATCTAAAGCAGGGGTGAATGCAGGCTAAAATCTATTAAAAAGTCAGAGACGGGCTATGAGAAACCTGAATGTGAAATCTAAACTGGACTCGAGTCCGACAAACATTGGAGAAGTGATGTCTGAACCTGAACAAACCTGATGTGAATAGCTGATGTGGTCCTGTTTGGTTAAGACAAATATTTTGGTGTTTAACTCACACTCACACAGAAATCTAATTTATTTCGTCCTGTCTGTCTCTGCTGGATTTTCTGCGCTGGCTTTATTGTCCTGTTTGTGGAGCTGCATGCGGTTTGCCAGTGTTTGCCACCTCTCTTAACACTTTGGGCAGGCTGGTGTCCTTGCAGTGGCTGTACACTTGGCAATCTCACAACACACATGCGAACACAGGAGCAACACACACAGCCCCCCAAAGGAGTGCTGAGCACTGCAGGCTTTTAACACACACTCTTCTCTGTCTTCTTGTTTTGCAGTTCAGTCGTTCACCTTCACCCCTGCAGGTACTGTTCATTTGTCCCGTCTCGATCTCCAAACGTCCCTCCTTCACTCCATCACTCCTTTTCTCCCAGCATTAACGCCCTATAGGGTCCTTCGTCCTGTAGCCAGTTTGGTGGCCTTCAGTTTCGGCTGAGTTGGCATACTTGTACTGAAACTAATCTATTTGTATATACTAGCAGAGCAATAGTTAAGGGCCCAGCTTCCCAAAGGCAAAGCTGCGTTAAGACCATTTTAAAAGGAAACTCCCCTGATTTTTCGAAATTTCTGCATTTTTTCAGTTGTTGAGATGTAAATGAAGTCACTCAGAGTTATATGATGTAAAATGGCTTATTGTTGAGAAACTCAGATTGCTGTACTGTGGTAGTGATGGGATCCAGGGGTCACAATATCTACAATGCAGTTATAGCAATTTTATTTAAAATGACCAGTGAACCTACGTGTTTTATACATAATGTCAATAATGGTATTGACGTTATGTAATGGTAAGTCAGTGGTAAATTAGAAAAAAATAAAGCTATCATAAAACAATCTCTCAGGCATCAGAGAATGTATTTACAGTTATTTCATGTAAAAACGTTCTGTGGAGGAAATTATAGGGGCATTAAACACTGCAGATGTCTGGTTCCTATCACCATGACTTTAAACAATTCTGACTCGGCAAGTGTCCTTAGAATGAAGCATTTCACATCAAACCACTCTGAATGACACTGTTTACATCTTCATTCAATAATGCAGAAATTTAGAACCATTAGTGGAAGAGTGCATAACACTTTATTTGGATGTTTCATTGTAAGTGCTTTACAGATGCTTTAATTATATTACATTACATTCAAACTAGATGTGTATTAACATAAACTTGATTTTTCATACTCCAATTGAAACACATTCTAACCCTAACCACAATGCTTTGAACTCTGTGGGTCTGCAGGTGGGCCCACATTTTAGCTCCTTACTCTCATGACTGCATAACTTACACATTAGTTTCATAATTGTTACCAAATAAGTCATAGTATTTACTGAATAGTCTTAATTATTAAGTCTTAATAACTGGATAATAAGCCATGGAAGAAAAACTTGGTACTAATCCTAGCCCTAACCCTAACACTACTGAGATTCATTGAGTTTTAACTGATACTTTGTACTACTTTGTAGTAATTTGTTTATGCATCTGAAGATTATCTACAGAGGACTATTCATATAAAGATCTAGAATTCCACCATCTTGTCAGAATCTTTGCCTCATGTTTTTGGGAAGTCAGCCCTGGCTAGTTTTTATAGTATAGATCTGACCACCCTTTTGTCCATCGCATTCGTGGCTCATGTATACCATTCTGTTTGTTTGCGTCTTTTACTTATAATATCCGTGTTTCAGTGTTGTGATCATTTGTGCTGGTGTGGTTTGATGTTATTTCACCATTTAGATCATATCTTTTTCTGTTTGTTGTCCGTTGTATAAGTGTAGATGTTGAAGCATCTGTACCCATACTTCTCAGTCTGCGTGCTGTTCATTAGGGTTTGACTTCAATCTTGTTGACTGTTGACTCTCTGTTTGAGAGTGAACACATGCCACAGGCTCTTTCATTTACCATCATGCATTTTGGCCAGAGGTGGGTAGAGTAACGTAGACCCATACACAAGTAAAGGTTGTGTTACTTGGAATAAAGACTCATATAAAATGTACCTTTCAAACAACAGTTTGATTTGAAGTACAAAAGTGCCCAAGTTAAATTACTTACATAAATGCAGTGGAACTTTTTAGCACATCCAGTCACAATCTATCAGTATAGGAACTGTAGTTCATTAGGTGCTATTCCTCTCTTTTGAGATCCTTTTTGTCCAAAATAAAATGATGCTCAAAAGTCAGAGGTGTAACTAAATGTTACTGAAATTTGAGTGAAAGTAGGTCAACTTTTTCACAAACGTAAATTATTAGCATTTCAAAATTGACTATACTTAGTGGAAAGTACAAATTCATCAACATTTTACTTGAGTACGTGTAATTGAGTACATGGATCTAGTTACCACCCACCTGATTATGGCAGGATATTTTTTAAGTTACTTGGGAGAATTGACAATGCAAGTGAAGTGAAGAAAGTTTTGGAGTCATTGAAAGTGCTGCTGTTTTCCATGATGAGAAAGAAGTGGCCTGAGGTTGTATAAACACCTCCAGATAACACCGTTTTCTATAGAACTTCAGTTGAAAGCATATGGCATCTGGTCTGAGTTATGTTCACGCCAGCATTGATTTTCCCTGCCTTGTTTCACTTCGGCCTCCGTAAATGAGACAGGTTTTTGTAATCCAACGCTTCATTTCTCCTGAAGTTGCTTGATGCAGTGGAGATCGCGCTGAAGTTATCCAGTGATGACCTTATTCCACACTCTCCGGCTGACAGAATCAAGTTGAGAATTGATAACGCAAGTGAAGTGAAGTGAAGAAATTCCACTCACGCTGACCTCAACCCACATGCATTCTCATTCACACACTCACACACGTGTGTATACGCACACTACACCCCTACCAAACCCCCCGACGGTGGAGGTGAGCTTTTATTGAGGAGTGCACTCTTTCAGTCTAAACTTTATTACAGATGAAATCAGCCTCCATCATAAAGCCCTCGTTCTTCTTCAGTGCTCCTCTATTTCTCTGTATGTCTCCACTTAAAGATGGGACCAAAACATTCCATATTTGAGGTGGTGGCTTAACACGCGCACCCGCACCCACACACACACACACACACCCCAGTTTGTTTTTATACCATGTATGTATTTCCCTAATATACAGTATTGTGCGAAAATCAGAGACCACCCTTCATTTATTTAATTTCCTGTCAAAACAGACATTAAGTACTAGTTATTCATTTTTAGTGTCAGAAAAAAATTACAAAATTACACTGAAGCTTCTACAGCTAAATGTAATATAGATTTTTTCTAGTGTTTAGTGTGTCCATACTTTGCCTTCATTAAAGCTTCCATTATTTTCAGGAGACTTGCTTTCAGTTTTTCAAAGAAATCTGCCAGGATATTTTTCCACACCTCCGTCTTAGAGGTCGGTTGTATTTTCTGCTGGTTATGATCCAAGTAATTCTAAACATATCACTGCTGTTGGAACAAAACCTTGTATCTCCAAAATAGTAACTTTACAAAATGAAAACACATCCTTCACTTTTAATGAAAGTCAATGGAACCAGACTTTTTGCCTAAGTAATTTTGGGCCATTTCGTTTGGTCCAATGACAATGAAATTTACACACAATGTAAAGGGCAACAGGCCTTTTCAAGTTATGTGAAAAACTGAAAAATGTCAAAAATAGAGATACAAGGTTTTGTTCTGGCAGCAGCAATATTCAGCAAAGTTGGTGTATGGACTCTAAGGTGGTCAGTCCATTGTTCTGATAAAACCAGCAGCTTTTTTTTGTTTTTTATGTTTTAATCATTATTAAGCTTCAGTTTTGGAAAGTGTTTTTTTCCATTTATTTTCCTTTGACTTGTCCTTGTCAAAGGGATCATCTTAAATCTAATGTCCCCAGAAATATCTCCTGAAAAATGAATAAATTGTATTTAATGGCTGTTTTGACTAGAAATTAAAATGAAGTGAGGAGAGGTCCAGAAAAATCACAAAGCAAGTGCGCACAGAGACACTGCTACATATTAGAATGCAGTCTAGCAGTCTCTCTCCACTCCACTGTGTTCTTAGAGCTTCATTGCTCTGCAGCTAGCATACTGGAGCGGACTCTTCACAGGACCTGGGAACTGAACAGATAAGTGTAGGCTCAAGCACAGTAGGTGTGTGTGTGTTGGAGTAGTCCACTTTCACACTTCTGCTCTATCGCAGAGTGAGAGAAATCTAATCAAAATGTTGGAGTTGTCGAGAGGCAGTTTTTGTAGCCCTGCTGTTTTGAGCTTGAGTTCTTGCCAGAAGTTGAAATATCTCAAGGCTTTAACTTTTAGAAGTCTAGAGGTGTTACTCTCATTTTGGCATACATTTCCTTACATTTACATGAACATAATTGCATAATTATATCATCAATAACAGTTGTATTAAATAAGTACATTTAAATTCAGTTGGCATTCTGAATCAACAGTTTTGAGTCTGCACTTTTTCAGTATTTTTTCAGCCAGCACCAAAAATATGTCAAACAGTCTGAAGGACAAAACAAGACTGTAATCACAGCAATAACATTTTGCCAAATTCAAGTCATAATCAAATATGTCCTACTTCCAAAACAAGTGTGGTATCATTTGGAGGTTTACAGTCTACATTTTATTACCTTTTATTTACTTGTGTTTAGTCCCACTTATGAGGTTTGTATGACTTTATATGCCATAAATAGTTGTAATTCATTTTATATGACCATTTTCCAGCCACACTTTATCCCTTAGAATCAAACAGGCTGTTTTTGTTACTGTACTTTTAAGACTGATATATATAAATGAGTTCTGTTCTGATTGGCCCTGCATTCTGCCTCATTCAGAAAGCAGTCTGGGCTAAAACACTCCTTATAACTTCAAATGGAACTAGTGGAGTTTAACTGCTATAGACTGTATTGGCGGATATATGTAAATAAATTGCTTTTTATGACATCACAAAACAACATATTCAGAATGTGCTGGTTTTGCAATGTAGTTTCCATGTATGGACTGTGTGGTCTGGAGAGTGAATGCTATGTTTGGAAACTATATTATGTATGTTACATTTTTCTGTGCAGCTGAATGACACCATGCTTTTGTTCACCTTCAGTGATTCCAAATTCAGATCTATACAGACCAACCTGTTAGTGAGCAGCCTAGATGAGTGTTTCAAGGATAAAGCAGTGTTGTGTGTAAAGTGGACATGTGCACGCAAATGTGTGCCATCTTCCTTTAAATCCGTCATAGCCAGAAGGCAGAAGCTCATCCTGTGCAGGCAGCAGGGATGATTTGATGGAATTTTTATATGCTGATTATGTCCTCCTGCAGTAAATGCTTATTAAAGGAGAGTAATGTGTATCCGTATTGAAGTAAGTGCATATCTGGAGCTTGGCTTAAAGCCAGCGCCCCTCGCCAGCCTACGGGCCACATCAAAGACCGGACTGCAATGTGTCCCTGTGTAGATAGAGACTGGACACACACACACACACAGGCCCCTGGACAGAGAAGAGAAACACCTTTAGTGTTTGTTCACAGTTTACTATAACACCACATTCTAAAGCAAATGATTCAATTGAAGGTCAGTGTGTCTACAGGCACTCGTTCCAAACACGTTCTGGAATCTATATAGTTATGTTTTTGTTAAAAAGTACCTGTTGGTGTTTCTATGTTATGTAGGTTTGAATCCCATTTTCGAACATCCAGTATTTTGTATCCAATTGTAATGGTATGGATAAGTGAGGTTATGGATAACCGAGGCTGATAATTCAAATGTGATGCAGTTTGATATTGTTTCTTGTACATCTTTAAAATAAGTGCTGATTCTAAACTTTCAGTTAATGCCATTTTTGTGTTTGTGAGTGAAAGAGAAGATGATCTTAGATGTAGTTATTGCTGTGTATTTCAAGCTTGTTCTGAGGAAAAACAACTTTTAATTTCTTGAAAAAAGACCTGAAGAGGTGACTCAGACCTGTCTATACAGAATATAAATACAATCTGTTGTGTTATTAACGATGTAATTACATTTGAATAGGGAAACCACTATAATAATCTTCATTACTAAGATTTAAAAGGTCAATGTCATGGATTTTTTTTTTTTTGTGCAGTATACAAACATTCTTTAAGTTTCAAAATGTACCATTTATACTGTTCCCCAGTCCATACTGTCCATATATGAAAACTAAGGTGAAAAAAAACTTTTTTTTTGTTGTCGTCACAAACACCAACACATTCTTCACATCCTTCCAGGCTACAGCAGTTTAGCATCATTCATTCACGACAAAGTTATAAGGAGTATTTAAACTTGGACTGGTTTTGAATTAGTTTAAATACAGGACAGCCAATTAGAACAGAGCTAGTTTACATGCATCAGTGTTAAAAGCACAATAACAAAAACAGCCTGTTTATTTCCACTGGATAAAGAGAGGTTGAAAGTGGTCATGTAAGAATTAATTTAGGCTGTTTTTGGTGCATAAAACCACATAAACATTGTAAGTGGACCTTAGACAAGACCTTAAAAAATACAAGAGAAATGTCACATATGGCCACTTTAAGTTGTGGAGTCATTTTGAATAGTGTATATGTGGTCATAATTGTCATAAATATCAAAATGAAACCATTCAAACTAAGTTTGGTTTCTACTTATAAGTGGAGATAATGGAGAAATAATGAATAGCTTTCAGTAAAGATTTCAAACTCTTAATTATAGCAGGTATCTAAGCCTCACTCTTGCTACCCAGCCTTTATCTGCCCCCTCGTACCTTTCATCTTTTCATCTCAGTTATGTGCAGAAGACTGTTCTCTTTGTTCATGTTGCAGCAAGCACAGAGACCAAACCTACAGAAAAGGAGAATTTGTTCTCTCTTTCTCTCTCTCTCTCTCTCTCTCTCTCTCTCCCTCTCTCTCTCCCTCTCTCCCTCTCTCCCTCTCTCTCTCTCAGTCTCTGAAGTGCTGAATATCTCTACATCATTTTAATGGTATAAGTGTACACAATGTGCTCTCACCTTGGGGAAATATTGGACTTCAGTATAAATCTCTAATTCACATAAAGGAATATTTAGTGAAGGTTTAATCATTTATATCATCATAAAGTAACAGTCATTAATCATTTTAATTATCTTAATCATTTATAGCTGTGCAGGTCCTACGCAAATGTTCCTGTACACTCTGATCTAGTTCAGAGGTTCTGTACCGATTACAGAATCTTTCCGCCAGGGTCTAAAATGTTTTCTGAACTCTTTCATCCTTAAAGTGAGAAGCATTATACCATGCCTTATTTTGTGATACGGTAATTAGCGGCATGTCCAAAGGGTCTATAGCCGTTTCTTTACAGCTGTAATGTGATCTCCTGAGGACGCAACGAGGCCAGTATTGTTCTGTGCAGTATTACTGAGCTTGCTATACTCAATCAGATTTTCAAAAAGCAACATTTGAGTGTATCTTCGTCTCACTGCATAGTCCTTAAAAAAAAGAATAGTATTAAATGTACTGTAGTGGTATAGTGCTATACTGATGATTTATTCTCTCTTTCTCTCTCTCTCTCTCTCTCTCTCTCTCTCTCTCTCTCTCTCTCTATCCTTGTCTCTTTTTCTGACCTCAGTGACGTTCCAGCGTGTTGACGGAGGCTTGATGAGTAACGGAAGGTAAGTTTCTTGTCACCTCCCTCTTTGTTTTGCTCCTTTTCACTTGCAGTGACAAAGAAACAGGCCTGCTTGTTATCACAGTGCCAATCACAAGTCTTTAACCTTCAGAGGCCAGGCCTCAGTTCTGCAGCACATTCATATTCTGTCCATCATCTTGCGGAAGGTCATCAAAACCATTATCCTCTATGCCGCTGTCCCATACCCCCCTCATTTGCTTTGAGATGGGAGTTTCACTCTTGAAAGAGGAAACGCTGTTTCAGACGCCTCTCAAAGCAGACAATCACTTTCACTTCTGGTATTGTCTGGGTGATTGTCTAGGTCCAGCATACAAGATCTGCTTTAAATGGCCAAAAAAAATAAATGCTTTTTTTGTATGTTTGATGTATGGCTGTTCTCTGGTCATTCGTTACATTAAGTCAACTATGCACCTGTTCAAAATTTGAGTATGCAGTGAGATTCAGTGAACTTCAGTGAAAAAGTACATATTCTAATGTAGAAAGTAGCCATTCAAATGTTAAGGCCTCATGGTATGTTCCTGACCAGGAATTATGTGGTGTTATCACACACAATGATGTAATAAATAAACAAACGAATAATGACTGGGTTTAATTTGGCTTTAATTACTGTTTTGATGGTGGAGCAGTGGGTAGCACTGTTGCCACACAGAAGGAGGGCCTGGGTTTGGTTTCCCGGCCGGGCGACCGCGGTCCTTTCTGCGTGGGTTTCCTCCCACAGTCCAAAGACATGCAGTTAGGTGTTAATGTGTGTATGATTGTATATGTCTGTGTATCTGCCCTGCGTTTGACTGGCGACCTGTCCAGGGTGTATCCTGCCTTCCGCCCAGTGACCACAGGGAATTTAATGGAAAACGTCTTCTTAAAGATATATCAGAAAAGGTGTTAAGTTCCTATTTATGACAACCATGTCACAACCCCAAGATTGAGAACCACTCATTTATAACACAGTTAGTATTCATGTTATGTGGCCTGTACTACAGTACATACATACATACATACATCTTCTAAACCACTTATCCTTCTGGGTCGCGGTGGGGTCTGTACTACAGTAATGTATCCTTATTTTCTTTGCATATAGAAAAGTAGTTTATTTAAAATTTGAAAATATTAGAATATTTTAATTTTATTTCTGATCACAGCTAACTCGTTAATTTGCATTTATTTATGTGTTTGTCTATTTTTATAAGTGAAATATTGTTAAAACAGGCAATCTCTGCAAAAGGATGTGTGGACCATGTTTGCTCATGTGTTTATACAATTGTGTTTAATGTTTGGGCACCCCTGGTCAGATCACATGTTTAGTTGATTTTCTAAGTGAAAATAAGTGAACACATCCTTTACACAGAACACACTTCTGCTCATGTAAATGCACCGCTACTCTTTGTTGAATTTAACAGATTGGAAAATAAAACAGAAAATGTGACCTGTGCAAAAGTTGTGGCACGTTTTATATTTTATTTTCTATTTCAACATGTTAAACTCAGCAAATAAATAGAAATTGTGCGCTACAGTTTGCAGCAAAAATGGCATATTTAAGTCTCTAGAGGATGTGTTCACTTTTTTCATGTAGAAAATCAACAGAATATGTTATTATTTCACTGGGGGGTTTCAAATTTTTCATGTGTGTTGAAGTGTCAATCTGTTTTTCTGAACATGTTCATATGCATCAGTCATGCAACATGTTGGGTACTGAAGAACAAGGCTAGTACAACACAAACCAAATGCATATAAAGATGGTTCTAAGAAGAATATGAACACTGCAAGTGGCATTTTCTTTAAGAACAGCTTTAAATATAATGTACTGCTTAAAAAATGCATGTGTGTGATGTTAAATGTTAAATGCTAAATTGTAGCCAAGAGTACTTGAAAAGGCTAAATAATATACTCTCAGTAAAATATACAGCAAAAATGAAAGCTAAAGACATCAAAGTTCTTAGTCTGATATTTTCCATTGCTATGCTTTTTATTTATTAGTCCTTTTTGAGTCAAAATGGTATTTATAGTTGAAAAGTATATTTTAAATTTTATATTTAATGGTATTTATAGTTGAGTCTTTAGTCATGAACAGCCCTAGTTTGAGCTCTGTTCAAATACAGACTCACTAAAAGTGCAAGAGTCAAAGTGCCTTTGATATCAGCTGATTGTGTGTGCAGACTGAAACAGTCTTCTCTTATCACCGCAGTGCCCTTGCACATTCTTCATCAGCCACATGCCATTTCCACATACAGTACGTCAAGCTGGGCTCTAATATCGATATATGACTGATGGATTTCAGGATAAGATCTGCCTGTTTGTGTACGCTGCATACCATGAGCAACACACACACACACATCTCCGCACATCTCCCTTCACGGCCAGCTAGCCGCTCTCATAAATTTCACCCCCCAAAAAGAATTAGCAGAAACAATTTAAGCAGAGACGGGTTTTATTTTATCATTTGTCATGGTGCCCCCCTCCCCACGCTGCCTAGGAGGACCCCTGCGGTGATAAATTTGCCTGTCACCTCAGCGAGGCGGCGGGGATATGAGCATGTGTAATAATGTAAAAATAATTACCCTGGGGAGAGGAGCCCAGACTAGGATAACCCTTCCGGAGCCTTCTAGCAGGCCTGGCTTGCGTTTGAGCGCGAGGGGAAAAGGGCTCATTTGAATGACACCAGTTACCTATCGGATGGCTGAGACCCTCTGGAGGGGCACAGGGAGATTTTCCTTCACTCGCTGTGGCCTTTATCATACCTGACTGGCCAAATCCACTCACAATCTTGGTGAAGTGCATGTGCGTGTGGAGAAAGCCTGATGGAGGGGGACTAATTCTTTACCCCTGGTCTGCTGTAGGTTGTTTAGCAAGTGTGCTGTTGGCAAATGCCATGTGTAGCAAGTGGTTACTAACTTGTAGAATGGTTCCATCTGCAGTGACACTGCTTCCTCTCTTCCACTCAGCAAAGTACCAGAGCTTCTGGTACCCAAGAACAGTATGGGTTTTCCATAGACCCTTTTCATAAGAAACGGAAGTGTGTAAACGCTGGGTAAAACAAGTTCTGCTGTTGCTTAACGGACAGTCACTAACCTCAGAAATAAAGGCGTTCATATCACTTCAGCTCACCACAGAAAGGTGTGTCACTTTATCTTTGTCATAGTTGCCAAGGTAGAAATTCAAAGGCAGGTCTAGAATTGTTGGAGAACCAAACACGCAACAATGTTGGAGACTGAATAAAGGATGTAAATGCTTCATGCAAAAATTCCCTCACAGCTATCAGGGTACAGAACAGCCAGCTAACGTCTACAGAGCAATAAATCGATGGATAGGTGAAAATAACTGTAACCAAAATGCTAGATAGGCCATTTTAGCTGGAGATGTTGAAAGAGCTCGCTAACAATAAACTAGCTGGCAAAAAGCAAAACGCACAGACATTCCGTCCTGGTCTGTAGTGTGACTGTAGACGTTTCACACAACCACCAGCTCCAGTGAACAAACATATGCTCTCCATCGAGCTCTCGCTCTCTCAGATGCTGACAGGTTTTGAGGGAGAAAATTAAAACTGTTCCTCTGAAAGCGGCTGTAGCAGCAACTTTAAAACACAAACAGCATTCAGTGTAACGTTAGTCAGCAGCAGTGAAATGCAGACAGTTTTTTTACTCTGTATGACAAAGTTAACAGTTTATTCTTTTTTTAATTGCACAAACTCGTTTTTCTCTGCTCATGGTCAGCGGACCAACCATTGAAACTGAGATTAGGCTGTTTTTGCTTCAAGCTCGAACACTTGAGCAACCTGTACATGCTCTACTCGTAATCAGCGATACCCTGCAATGAGTACTTCCTGCAGAAAAAAAATGCAGAAATGTGAAAAGGGCGTTTGGCAGTTGGCCCAGAACTAAAGGTTCCAGATTTATGTTTTTTGGTAGCTGCTCAAGGTTAGTGCCAGCAAACACCTATTTGAGGGTGTTCTACTCTGCCTTTGGTAACACATGCAGCTGAAGCCAACGACAATTAGCCAGTTCTTTACTCTTCCAGGTGAGGATAAATCTATTAAGCACATTATATGACTAATAAGGGTAAACTGGAGCGATATATAGATGTTGATTGCTGTTCTGTTACATTGTTATAGTTGGACTTTGGCTTGGGAAAGGAGAGGAATTCTCTGGATGTTGTCTATCAGAAATTCCACCCTTTCAATGTACTGCATAGGATATGTGCAGCTCGACTGCACAACAAAAGGAGCTGTATCTTTCACATGTATGTAAAAATGCTGTAAATATCCTGGTTTTAACTGTTCGCGATTCAATGGCATTCTTGCCAATGTTGCCTCTGTTCTGTTCAACCTTGCAACAAGTGCTACAGAAAAATATATTTGTGGGTGGAGCATGGATAGGTCAGTTAAAGACGTGGTCTTTTGTCTCCCATAGCACCCCTCACATCTCTGCCTGACATATCTTGACTCTCATTTCTCGAGCTTACTCAGGTACGCCCACAGGTTATATTACTGTTGTACATTCATTACTGGAATCCCACTTCCATAATGTGCCACCACTTATGTATAAAGTCACCTTAGCTATGTAGAAACCCTTGATCTGTCCTCCGCTGTAGGGACTCTAGAGGTCCAGATGTTCCAGCGGTCCATCTGCCTGTGGTGGTGAAAGAGCAGTGCAGGATCAGTGGGGAGAAGGCGGCCATTTGTTACGTTCCCTGTTTATTGCATTAATTAGACAATAGCAAATGAAGCCGCGTCTGTTTTCTCCCCGCTGCTCATTGGCTGCGTCCAAATTGCTCTGACTGAACAATTACACTTAATCGATCACAGAATAAATGATTCATGGAAGATGAATAGGCTGCAGATTGGTCGGGCCTGGATGCCTCGATTTTGGCTGCCGGGTTGGAATTGATAGAATCTGGTGATTTCTCTCTCTCTCTCTCTCTCTCTCTCTCTCTCTCTCTCGCTCTCTTTCTCTCTCTCTCTCTCTTTCCCGATCTCTTTCTCTGTTTACC